CAGTGCTGTACACCTGAAAGTAACACAATATTGTAAATCAACTATATTTCAACTTTAAAACATTAAGATCAGTCATATAAAGCAAAATAGACCTATTTTTTTGAACCTCTATTGTTCATTGTGTTGTGTTGTTATGGTCTCTCTTCTTTTGACCCTGGCATTTCTTTACTCATGCACAACACCCTTATCGAGGGCCTCCTGTGGGCAGAGCCCTCCGCTGGGTACCGTGGAAGGCCTCAAGACAGAATCCCTCGTCCAGCTCTGTCCCCAACCAGCTGTCATGAAGGGGTCCTTGCACTTCACACAGCCACAGTTTATGCACCTTTAAAACAAGGTACCTGGCCTTATTGCCTACAGGCACTGACTCCCCTGCACTTGTGGGCTCCTCACGGTCCGGGGGGTGGAGGGGGGGATGCCCTGAGCAGGCTGTGGCTGGCATCCCAGGCCACAGGTCAGAGGGACACATGGCTTGCTCTGGAAGTGAAGCAAGTCAAAGCTGGATGGAACCCCGCCCCGAGCCATGCCCACAATCACGTGTAAGCCCAATGGATGCTGAGGTCCTAACAAAGGGGTCTGATCCAAACTCACGCCATTGTAGACATATATCTGTGGCTCTATTAAAACGTTTTGTGATGAACATTTTCAAAAATACGCAATATAGACAGAAGAAGAAAATGAAAACTCAGGCACTCATCACTGAGCTCCAACAATTTTAACTCTGCCCCTGACCCTCCAAATCCCAGACATCCTGTCATTTTACCCGTAAGTGCTTCAGTGCGTGTCTGTAGTTAGAAAGGGTGTTTTAGAAATATAACCGCCATGCCATTATCCACAAAGTTAACAGTTATTCCTTAATATCAGGTTAGTTCCTTAAAGATGTCTCTTTCGGGCTTTTTTGCAAATCAGGATCCAAACAAGGCTCACACTTTTGTTTTGATCGTCCCTTCTGTTCTGGAACAGTTTCCACTCCTTTGTAAATTTTCACTTCCTTGCAGTTGGTTTGTTGAAGACACCAGGTCATTTATTTTGTAGGATGTCCCACGTTCCGGACTGGGTTGCTTGCTTCCTTGTAGTGTTGCTTAATTTGTTCTTCAGTCCCCTTTACTCCCTGTAAACTGGTAAGACATCTAGAGGCTTGATTAATTTCCGGATCAATTTTTTTTTTTAAGGCAAGAATGTGTCCGAGTTGATGCTGTGTATTTGACATTGATTGCATCCCCTTAGGGAGCACATCCGGTCTGGCCATCCCACTTATAGTGACAGATCAGAGGGCTCAGGTAGCTAAGTAAGTGGGTGACCTTGACGGGAAGCAGAAGAGATGGGATTTGGACCTTCTCAGTCTGATTCCAGAATCGACAATTTTAGCCACTCCCCCATCTTTCAGGAAAAACAAGTGCTCCACTTTTATACCTTTCTCTCTGTTTCTGGACTCCTGTACCCACCACCCATCTTTCCCCTGTACCAAGGACAAACACCACTAGTTGTAGGTCAGATCCCGTAGTTTAAATTGGGGAGGAACACAAGATCAGTGCTTTCAAGCACCAGGAGGTCCAGGTGTGGCTTGGGTGCTCCTTCTTTCCGCTGGGTCATGGTCAGAGGTGTAAGAGGTGGGGAGGGTCCGGGAAGGGGGTGGCATCTGACAAGAGTTTTCCTTGGCCACTGCATTTCTCTCCAGCCCTAAACCCTTCAGGCACTGGATGCAAGAGCCTGGGACCCCACGGTGCCAAATGTCAAAGGGATTGAGAATGACTATGAAAGTGTGATCACATTTCCTGTCTTTATCATGAATTTCCCATTTCCTTTTGCCTTCTTTTCATGCCCTCTGCTGCCATGATTTTTCTCTCGGTTTCTCTCGGTTTTCACTGGCCTCATCTGTCTTGTCCCTCCCTCATGGGACAGGGGCCCTTTAGAAAAATCACACACTGAAATTACACGCCAACGGCAGTCAAGGTAGCAAGAGAAAGGTGGGCATCACAGGTGCTGACCTCTGACGTCTCTGCAAGTCCTAAACCTGAGGGTCTACCTCCACCTTGCACGTAGGGAGAGACTCCCACGAGAGACTCCTGGCCAGGTCCTGGGCACAGGGACCCCAGGGAGCTGAGGGGTGGAGAAGGCAGAGAAACAGGAGAAGACTGGAGAGAGAAATACCATCCGATGGGAAATAGAGAAATCCCTCCCAGCGGGCTCTGGTGCTGTGTTTCTCTTTAATTCACCAAGGTTGTGTTCTTTCTGTCCACGCATGAGCTGGGCTACAGGCCTCAGGCCGCCTAGAGGCCGCAGATGTATTTGTTCTTGCCTTTTGTGGTGGTGACTACCTTTGTGCATTGCTCTCCTTCATTTACAAGGAATATTTGTAGAGATTCTTACCATCTACAAGGTCGTGAACCCTCACAATGACTCTTAGAGCGAAGGATCATCATCACACTCACGGTCACTTGAATACAAGACTCAGAGCCTGTAAATGCTTGAGGTTGCCCCATGATGAAGCGGCTGGGCCAGGACTTGAACCCATGTGCCTGGAAAGCTGAGCATCTTCCGCTATGACCACCCCCTACCCCCAACCCACCCACACAAGGTTTGCTTCAGAGAAACAAGAAGGGCTTGGGTGTCACTTTCTTCAGGACCCAGTGACTCTTCTTCCCAAGAACTCCGTTGAGAGCGCCGGTTCCACGTGCTTTGTTTGTGGTCAGTGTCCCGTGGGAAAGGGTCAGCTGGCTGTTCAGAGTGGGACAGAGTTTTTGGTGAGGCCTCCCTTTCCCGCGCTAAGTAACGAGAGCATTGGTACTCCCAGGGGGGTCTCCTTGGGACACATTCCTTGTTGTTATTGCTATTGATGTGGTTTGTGGTTTTGCCTTTTTAAATTAAAAATCATCGTTTCTCTAATCGGGAGTCATATGTGTTCATTTTGAGACTCTTAGAAAAATGGAGAAAAGCATAAAGAAAATCAATCTTGTCTGGTCTCCTGCCACCTCAAGCCACAGCGAGGACTTGGTGGGTTCCCTTCTTGCCTCCTGTGCCCCTGCAGATGCCCGCCCCACGTTCCTCTGTGCCTGGAGCCTCACAACAGGCCTCGCGTCCTCTCCTATGGCAGGGTTCGGCTACGAGGGAGGCCTGGCAGGGGGAAGGACAGCGTGGTTGGGAATTTATTCCCCTCGCTCCCTCTCTGCAGGGTCACCTCTGCCGAAGGTCACTGCTCCTTTCAAGACCCAGGAGTCAAACAAGCCACTTGCCCCCCACAGGCTCTGGTAACTGTTCCTAATCTCCTTCCTTTGGGCCCCGGGTGGTAGGGCCCCGGGTGGTAAAGCCCCAGCTACTGCAGCACTGGTTGTTCCCCCGCACCCCGCGCTGCCCACACTTTCATAAATAATCCCTCCCCAGGTTATCCTGTTTTGAACGTGCCATCTGTTTTCTGTTGGGAACTGGACTGCCTCACCTTCTGACTCATTGGTATGTCAAGACCTTTCCCTTGAAGCTCCCATGGCCATGCTATTTTCTGAGGTTTCCAAAGCAATGTATGAAGTAGAGCCTGGAATAAACTTGGGGGTCCTGGGGCAAGAAGGCATCTAATTTCTTGACTCCCAGTAGCACCCCTCACCTGACCTGGCTCGGAACTGCCCAGGCCTGTGTCCACACGTTGTGATGTGTCACACACCTCCACCCACTCCCAAGCACCTCCAACTCCTACTGCCCCTATATCTCCATTAAAGCCACTCCTTTTGTCACCGGAATTATCTCCAGGAGGTCCCGCTTGGAAAGGAAGTTGTAGCAGAGGAGGAAGGAATCCTGACTTTTTCACCCCAGAGGCCTCTGCACCTGACGCTGCCTCAGTCCCCTGCCCACCGCCTGGCTGAGTCTACCTGCCCCTCTTATCTCGGCTTTGAAGCCTTCTCTGAGCTCTGCACCCTCGTGCTCTTCCGTGTTGTAACTCTCCTCATGAGGTCCACGAGGGCAGGCACCACCATGTCCTACTCACCCTTCTACCTGACACCCACCCATAGCACCTGGCATATAATAAACACTCCATCAGTAAGTTGAATATTGTACATTTGGGACATCCTCCAGTATCAAGTTTTCCCATTAGCCCCATGTTGAAGGACTATTTCCATTTGGAAGAACCCTTGAATTGAAGGAGCCAGCCATTGCTTCCTGGAATACTGTATATACATTAGAAGCCATTTACCCATCCCCACAGGCACTAAGGTGATGGGACCCTACAAAGGTGTGTTTGTGGGAGGTGGGCGTGGGGAATAGAACAAAAGGTGCACCTTTGTCAGAAACTTTTGTGGGGCTGTTGACGCGGGAGGAGGCAAGAGTGTGAAAGCAGAGCCGGGGAGTCGGGAGAAAATTCTGGTCCATCATTTTCCCAAGAGCCAGGTATATAAAAAAACACCGGTGCTGCAGACAGTCCTATGAAGATAGACTTCAGATGCAATTTCAGTCCTCTGGAGTCACTTCTGAATTTATTTACCATATTGAACTTTACCTCCTAGTGCGGGGTCAGGGGAGCTTTGAGTATTAGTGAAATATTTCAAACCTCCCTTTAAGAGGAAAATATGAATACCTCTATTTGCACAAAGAAACAGTGGAAAGATATACAAGGAACTAGTGAAGTGATGACTTCCGGGGGTGGAGTGGAGGACCCAAACAGACTGGGTAGCAGAGAGAGGGAAACTTCTCAATTATAACTTTTGATATAGACTTTTTTTTTTTTTTTTTTTTTTTTTGCGGTACGCGGGCCTCTCACTGTTGTGGCCTTTCCCATTGCGGAGCACAGGCTCTGGACGTGCAGGCTCAGCGGCCATGGCTCACGGGCCCAGCCGCTCCGCGGCATGTGGGATCTTCCCGGACCGGGGCACGAACCTGTGTCCCCTGCATCAGCAGGCGGACTCTCAACCACTGCGTCACCAGGGAAGCCCTGATACTGACTTTTGAATCATAGGAATTTATAACCTATTTAAAAAAGAAAATCACGTTTGAAAAACCTTCCCTGAGAAGAGCAATAACTTTCCATCTTTTTTTTCACTTCAACCCACTCAGGTGGGGAAGAGACCTCGTTGTCCATTTATTCTGTCCTTTTACACTTTCCAGTGGAAGAAACAATGGGACTTGTTTATAATAACAAAGTGTCAACGCATAAGCAGTTTGCTTTTGGGGAGAGGGGGTAGCATTACGTAAACATTTGCTTTGGCAACTGGGGTATGATGATTCCTATTTGAACCACAACGTATCTTCCAATTTAGTTAACTAGAAAATTACCGGCCCCAAATACTGATGTGGCGAATACAGAAACCTAAACATCTTAGAGAAGATCAGAAAATCTAAAACCAACCACGTGGATAACACAGTAGCAGCAACTGCTCAGACAGAAAACAAAACTTGCTTCCTCCTCAGTGTGGGCATTTGGCTGCTGACAGTTTTGCAGGCACAGCAGGAGCTCTGCAAGCTGCCACATGTTGCATAGATGATAGAATTTTGGATAAATGCTGAATAGAAGTATTCTGGTGACACGCTCATTTTGGTGCATGAATTCCGAATTCAGTCACCCTTAATGATTCACGTAATAAGTTAATAGTAGAAAGTGATTAGTTCTCCCTAAATGCCAGCTGGAGGATTGCGTGGCATTCACCCAGAAGAGCAGAAAGGACTCATATGTTTGGAAAGCAATTTGCGTCCATCAGGAGAATTCTTGCATCTCCAGTGGCCTTTGAGACCACTTCCAAAATGGCTCTATTAGAATTATTGTACCGGTAAAAATTTATAAAGCTACCCTGCTCCGAGGTGGCCAGAGTCCTAGAGAATTTGGACTCTGTGATGGAAAAGACCACCCATCTAAATCATGCTTTTTCCCAGTGGGAAGCAGCCCTTCAAACAATGAAGGTCCTTCTTAAGTATCAGCTTTGGCCTCTGGGATAACTTTTCTGAAAGAGCTTGCTGGGTGAGTTGCAAACCCTTGGGGAAATGTTTTCACAAGGAAGTTCTAAGAACTGTTGAGGACTGAGTAGCTCTACCCTTCCTTACGTTTTTAACCACAGTTAAGCTTCCCTGGCAAGGAGTGATGGAGCTTTCGAGGCAGTGATTTTAGACCCTCTGACCCCCTCGACCCTCTTGTCCTAGATCTTCCCAGCATCTGTCCTGTTCTATTCTGTCTCTCACATCGAATTCTACACCGACATTTGGACTTAGGGGCCCTCTTGGGCTTCCCTAACTCTGATCATCTCATGCTATCACTTGTGACTTGCACCCACTCTTCTTACACCTGATCCAGCTCCAGCTCCAGGGGACCAAAGAGGAGGTAAGATGCACTAAAATGAAATCCCCACGACTCTTGAATCCAAACACCTCTACGCCTTAGCCTGCCATGGTTAACCATTACGGACGCTTAGGAGAACGCTGAGCCACGTGGCATGGATCTGTACTTCCCAGGAACTGAGAATACGGGTACGTACGGGGTTGACAGTCAGCTGGTTAAATACTGAATTACTTCCCTGTCACTTTGGTACAGCTATTGTCCCACTACCTTGACCACCTAGGCTCCTTCCCTGGAACTCCCTAGACCTTCCCCTAAACCTGCAGCTTTAGGGACAATACCTGGCCAATCAGGGGCAGGAGTGGGGGTAGGGCCTTGGTTGGGTACCCTTGGCCAAAATCCATCCTGATTGGCCGATACCTGAGCCAGACTAGTTGTTATCTATCTCAAATATCAACCTTTACAAGTGAGCCATGGTCTTAGAGATTTCCAGATAAATAAATGAAAAAGAAAAAAGTCAGACAAGGGACGGCTGTGCCGATACTCCCAGCTGGCAGCCTCTTCTCTTCAAAGGCTGCCCCAGAGGTATAAGCAGGTGATTTACTAAATACTGCCTTTTGCCAAATGCCCAGAGACCCTTGAATGTTGGGTGCTAATAAAGTTCAAGTTATTATTAGGCACGTGGTCTATGTAGGTCACTGCCAAGTGCTGGCAAAGAAAAGCCAAGCAAGCAGGCTAACCCTGGCTGGAATGTGGATGAGGAACTGCAAGCCCTTCTCTAAACAGGAAACATGCCTGAAATCTCTTTTGTCTCCAGAAGGACTTGGCTTCTTCACCTGTAAAATGAGAGTCCTATTAATGCCCCCCTTCACCAGTGTCTCAGGATTTTGGACAAGAAATAAGGCTCTTTAGGAAGAAGTGGGGGAACCCACCAGGGAAGAGCATTGGGAGATCCAGCTTCATCCTGTAGACGCTTGGATCCTTTGGATTTTCTGTCGCTGCCACACGGCAGTGCTTGGCTTGCATGTTACCTGGCAGCCCCTGAGAGGGACCGTGGCCATGAGTGGGGCAGGAAACAGCTCCAGGAATTCAAGGTCTTGACTAAAGGAAAGAGCAGATCTGTGCTTCCAGTTCTGCTTGGACACAGGCGTTTTTCAGATGCTCACAGGAAGATGACTCGTGTCAAGCTTTCAACCATTTGGACAAAGTTCAGGATTGTTCTTTAGCAAGATCTCTTCCTGGGCAAAAAGGAACACACGCATTTCCTAGGCATCCTGTTGGGCGGTGATGTCCCCTCTTTACCAAAGCTCTCCGAGCTGGAAGGGCATCCGCACAGGCAGGAGAGACAGAGGGATTGGGGCCACGTGTCTGGGGGAGGGTGGTGGGCTTGGAGGTGTCTGGGGGTATTGCTGGAACGCAGGTGCAGTAGGACCCTCCCGGGCAGGAAGGAAGAGCTAGGACAGGCGAGAAAGCAGTGGATCTGCCCGTGCTGATGTGCCTCCTGGCGGGAGGTTTCCAGGCTGAGTCACCCCGTGTGAACCTGGCAAAGAATGGGAAACCATTGGGAGAGAGAACAGGAAGAACCAAATTCAGGCCAAGCGAGAGGGAAGGGGTGGGGTCACGGGATTTCTGGGACAGTGGAGCCCAAACTGAGCCCTAAGCATGCTCCTTTTTTTTTTTTTTTAAGAAAAATTAAAACTCAGCTAAGGTACACTTCCTCCTGTTTTACAGAACATGTGAGGTGAACATCTTCAGTTTTATTTATGTCCTAAATAAGCACATGTAGCACTTATTTGGTGCCAAGCACTCTTCCAGAGTTTGACAAGTTTTAACTTATTTAGTCCCCAGGACAATCAGAGGTCTTATGATTATTCCCATTTTACGGCGAGGAAACTTGAGGCATGGCAGAAAGGGTTACGTGGCTTTACCCAAGGGGAGGAGGAGCCGAGACTGGACCCCAGGCAGCCTGGCTTCCATGTCTGTGCTTTCGACTCTTGAATTGATTTTTTAATAGACTTTATTTTTTTTAGAACAGTTTTAGATTTATAGAAAAATTAAGAAGATAGCACAGAGGGTTCCAATACATCCTGTATCCAGTTTCCCCCGTTATAAACATCTTACATTAAGGTGGTGTATTTGTTACACGTAATGAGCTAGTATTGATCATTATTATTAATGGAAGTCCACAGTTTATTTGGATTTCCTTAATTTTTACCTAATGTCTTGTTCTGTTCCAAGATCCCATCCAGGTTACTGCATTCCTCATGTCTGCTTAGGTTCCTCCCGGCTGTGGCAGTTTCTCTGACTTTCCTTGTTTCCCATGACGTTGATAGTTTTGAGCAGTGCTGGTCAGGTGTTTTGGGATGTGTCTGATGATTTTTCTCCTAATTAGACTGGGGCCCAACCCTTGTCTTTTTTTTTTAAAAAAACATCTTTATTGGAGTATAATTGCTTTACAATGTTGTGTTAGTTTCTGCCGTATAACAAAGTGAATCAGCTATATGTATACATATATCCCCATATCCCCTCCCTCTTGGGCCTCCCTCCCACCCTCCCTATCCCACCCCTCTAGGTGGTCACAAAGCAGCGAGCTGGTCTCCCCCAACCCTTGCCTTTTGATCGTTACAGTGAGCTCTTGCAAGGCAGGTGCCAACCTAACAGGGACATCTGCCATTATTTGACAGAATTCCACACTAGGTTTTCTTTTTCTTATGTATTTGGTTCTTTTCAGAAGGGAAAGGAGACTTCTCTTTTGTCGTTGTGCTAACTCATCTGGTTCCGAGTAAAGAAAGTCATGTTACCCTGGACTCTCCCGCTGGGGTAAAGCCCTTGGTTTACGCTAGTTTCCATCTTCCAGGGTTGCAGGGTGCATTTCGTTCCTCCAGCTGGGCCCTGTTCATCCCTGTTAAGACTCAGACCCCGGCACAGCTAAGTGTAAAGGGAAAGTCGGGGACTTGGTCCTGTAGGGCTGTGTGGGGTTCTATTTGCTTCCTTCAGCCAACATTTCCTCAAGCCTTGTCACTCCCACTGAAGCCAGAGCATGCGCGGCCAGCTGCCAGGCCATGGCTCTGTCTCCGCAGCTCTCCATCCCTGCTGTCTCCGGGGAGGCATCTCCTCAGCTAGCTCTGTGTGAGCACATCTGCAGAAGCTACCCCACTCCCCACCTTCCTCAGGTGCTGTCCTGGCAGGCGGACCCTCCTTCCTAGATGATAGACCACACCGTCAGATGGATCCTGACAGTCCAGACTGGGAACACACGCATTTGATTTTCCCAGGGAGAACTCCGATCATAAAGATGTTTACGCATGAGGGAAGTGCTTGATATATGGCCTTGAGGTGATAAAAATACACGCCACCTTCTCAGAAAACTAAAAATAGAATTACCATATGGTCCGGCAATCCCACTCCTGGGCATATACCCAGACAAAACTATAATTCGAAAAGATACATGCACCCCTATGTTCAAAGCAGCACTATTCACAATAGCCAAGACATGGAAACAACCTAAATGTCCATCAACAGATGAATCAATAAAGATGTGGTCCACACAGACAATGGAATATTACTCAGCCATAAAAAAGAACGAAATAATGACATCTGCAGCAACATGGATGCAACTAGAGATTATCATATTAAGTGAAGTAAGTCAGAAAGAGAAAGACAAATACCATATGATATCACTTAAATGTGGAATCTAAAATATGACACAAATGAACGTATCTATGAAACAGAAACAGAATCACGGACATGGAGAACAGACTGGTGGTTGCCAAGGGGGTGGAGGGTGGGAGACGGATTGGGATTTTGGGATTAGCAGATGCAAACTGGTATATAAAGAATGGATAAACAACAAGGTCCTACTGTATAGCACAGGGAACTGTATTCAATATCCTGTGATAAACCATAATGGGAAAGAATATGAAAAAGAATATATATATATATATATATATATACGTATAACTGAGTCACTTTATTGTACAGCAGTAACTAACCCAACATTGTAAATCACCTATACTTTAATAGAAAAACTTCTTTTTAAATACACGCCACCTTTTAAAACCATGGCAACACAAGAGGCAGGACAGTTGCAAATGAAAGGGCGTTTAAAATATGGCAATGGGCTGCAGGTGTGTAAAGAAAGTTGATTAGGAAAACAGCTAGACGGAAGAGAGTCCTGCCTTCATTCTCATCTCCATCTCCACTGCGTCCCAGCTCAGAGCCTCACCAAGTTCCAAGGCCAACCCCCAATAACTGCTGGCTATATGAACAAGGGACGCAGAGTGGGCATCTCCTGGCTGCCTCCAACAAGTCGCAGCCCGGGCTTCCCATCTCTTTCCCTCCTTGCCTTCAGTCCGAACAGAGCTAACAACTTCGTGGCTCATTTTACCTTCCCAACCCTCCTCCTGCTAGGTTGAATCATTAGCCTCGGTTCCTCACCTTCTGCAGCGACCACATCCTCTGCTGTGTAACTCTGCAGACCCTCCCACAACCTTGGGAGGGAAACACTTCCCTGCCCCATGATTTTGGACTCGGCTGGAGGGTATCAGCAGACGTGACGCATACAGTGGTTCGAAATGTGCTTGTGTGGTTGGGCGTGTCCTCTTACGCCTCTCCCCGTCACCAGGAGAACAACATGCCCCAGCTAGCTTGCTGGTCCCGGGAGGATGAGAGGCATGTGGGACAGACCTGGACCCAAACAGCAGCGTGGAACCCAACCCAGCTGATCCCAGCCAGGATCAGCCAAACCCCAGCTCAAATGTATGAGTGAGAAACAAACGCTCCGCGGAACGCCATCAAGCTTTCAAACCCTTTGGTACCAGCAACAGTACCTGCGGAGTAATACGCAGGACGAAGGTTTCTGGGAAGAGGAGACTTCATGTCCCAGGAGACCATTCCTTTCTTACATGAGCCTTCCTGATGATGTCACCGTCACCGGGACTCACCTCTCCCAGAAAGCATTGGTCTGTTAGTAATAACAGTAATTAGCATTCACCTGGGGTTTTATGGGCAGGAGGCAGCAGCAACATACAACTATCTTATGAGGTGAAGAGGCCGGGATTATCACATTCATTTTGCAAAGAGAAAATTAAATACTCAGACGAGTTGGGTGACTCACCAAGACTGGACCAGGAGGCAGCCGTCTGAAGGAACAACGCGATAAGGAGTTCCTCATACCCGGGAGAAGTCACGTGTGTGCTCGCGCAGGCGCCTTTCATTTTTGTAACATTTCCTGTTATTAAAGGGATACAGGCCAATTGCAGAAAACTAGGAAAACGCGGGAAGCATTAGTAAGTTTCCATCCTACCTAGTAGTATTTTGATCTATTTCTCTGTGTTATTTTTGTTGTTATTATTTTTTTGGCCGTGTCACGCGGCTTGCGGGATCTTAGTTCCCCGACCAGTTGCTCCCTGGAGTGGAAGTTCGGAAGTCCTAACCACTGGTCCACCAGGGAAGTCCCTCTCTGTGTTATTTTTAATGCATGTATATTTATTATATATTTTTATAAGTTAGAAGCATACTGTATATATAAGAACATTTCCTATGGCATTTAAAATTCTTTAAAGACAGTTTTTAATGCATACTGTGTTCTATGACTTAGTCTAATTTGTTTAAACATTCTCTATTACTGTAAATGTAGCCTGTTTGTAATTTTTTTGCCACGAAAAACAATGTTTTGGTGAAATCTTTGTTGGCACAGGAGGTAATTTATGTATTTAGTGCATGGCTGGTATAAATGGTAGCTGGTATAAATCTTTGTCTAAATCCCTGATAATTTCCTTATAATAAACTTCCAGATGAACTTCTGGGTTAATGAGTTTTAACATTGAAATAGTTTTTGTCAAACTGCTTTCCAGAAAGGATGTCCCATTTCTATTGCTAATTATGATGTTGCAGTTGCCCATCTCACAGCCTCCTCACTAGCACTGAGTAGTTTCTTTAAAACAAAGTATTGCTAATTTGATGGGTAAAAAATGGTAGTTTCTTGTCGCATTTTTCATTCCTAGTGAGACTAAAAATTACCGCATAATTATTAACCATCAGTAACAGGATGACTGGGTAGAGGAGGCATTTGGATCAGGGCCTGGCATAATAGTTTTGAATGAATGACCAAAGGAGGACCACGCTGTGCATGTGAGTAGAACCGCTAAGACTATGTGTTAAGGACTGAGGTTCTTGATTGTGTGGACAGGGATTTATCCCCAGTCCTTTCTTGATCAAAAGGACAAAATGCTGGGATAGAAGTGAGGTTTTCGAGTGTCTACTGGGGTGACAGGACTGAGACCGAGTTGCTGGGCTTTGGAACTGGTGGACCGGCCAATGAGAACGCTCTTCGGGAAAAGGAGCTGGGAATGCAGCCCCTGGTAATTTGCAGCCCCTGGCCAGTAATCTGGGGGCTGGAGCTGCCAGTGGTGCCCTCACTCCTCCAGTCAACCCCTGACGCCCCAAGCACACACTTGTGGTCACGGGGTGTACTTGGACTCTGCAGACGATTCTGTTCTCAAGGGGAAGTTAGGACTGCGAACTGGAGCTCTGCCATCGGACTGCGTCATGATGTGACTCAGCCACTAGGCTGGCTGAACTGGATTAACCCCTGCTGTTTCTGTTCCTCCAAGCCTGGCCGAGACCGCCTCCCTCCTGCCCTAGGTGAGGAGCCCCACCCCAGCCCAGAGCACTCTTGTAGTAATTATTACCCTGCCCTGTAATTTTTCATTCACAAACTATATGCCTCTCCTTGAAGCAAACTACCTGAGGGTGGACGTAGGGTTTCATTATCTTGTATCTTCGGCAGCCAGGAGTGTGAGAATGAATGAATGAATGCTCCAGGAGTATCCAGAGTGCACCAAGAATAAACCAGGGCCTTGGAAACTGGGTGGGAGAAACAGCCAGAGATCAGTCTTTATTAATATGTTTCATGATGGAGTTTTGCTCGACTGAGAAGTTATAACTTGGATGTTAGTCTCTGTGGTTGGTTGCGTTTGAGGCAGACTACATCCCACATCCCCGTGCCTTGAAGTTTTCTGGTTTTGCTCTGATTTGAGCCATGTCTCAGCAAAAGCGGGAATTTTTTTTTTAACTATCTGCCCCGCTTTCTTCTAAAGGAGCGGTTCTCAAACTTAATATTGAGTAGTAGAATCATCTGGAGCGCTTGTTAAAATACAGAAAGCTGACTTTCTGATTTAGCATTTCCAACAAGTTCCCACTTGATGCTGATGCAGGGGCCACACTCGAAGAACCACTGGTCGAAATGTTTTAATCTGGCCCCTGGATAAGGTGTCCGATTGACCTTCTCCCAAGTCCACCTCTGGGCCAGGCCTCAGCTCTGTTCATCCCCACGACAGTTTGGAATGTCTTTTCTTGGCAGTCTGCATAGGCAGATGGGACCATCCTAACCTGTGTTAAGGCCACCAGGGTCTAAAAAGTGCTGCTACAGGGTCTGAAACCTCATCAGGACACCTACTAGCTTTCTGGAGAAGTACATGAAGCTTCAGGAAACGGAATTTTACACCCTGGGAAAACCCCAAGCTCCAGGAGCCAACCTTCGGACAGCAGGCAGCAGCCAGGGGCCTCACCCGCCCTCTTCCAGAGGCAAATCTCCTCAACAGGGGGACACCTGGCCATCACCTGTGAGGGTCTCCGTGCACTTTCCACTCCGCCCCATCTGTGCCTGAGCCCACATCCTCTTTCTCAGTTGATCTTTACAGGAGAAGGTGAGAACCTGGGCTAAGATTTGCTTTCCAGCAGCTTCCCCATCACCATTCAAATAAAATCCAAGCTCCTGACCATGGGCTGAGCCTGCCTGGTGCTCGGACAGCATCTCCCTTCTCTCCAACTTGTTGGGTCCACTCTGACCTGCTGTCCTCCCTGGCTGGCCCTCAGACAGCAAGCCTGTTTCCATCTTGGAGCTCAGCAGTTGCCCTGCCTGCAGAGCTGGGGCCCCACATGGACAGGAGGCTGGCTGGTCAGGCATCCCCTCTCCAGAAAGAACTTCCTATTCACCCTCCATAAAGCAGCCCTGCCTCCCACCTGGTCCTTCTGCCCCTATCTTCAGAGCACTTGTCGCCATCTGATGCCACCTCCAGAACGGAAGCCCCATGGAGGCCTGAACCTTGTCTGCCTTTCCTAGCTGCATCCCCGGCACCTGGAGTGTGCCCGGCACACCGTCCTGGTTCAATAAGGATTTAAGGAATGAATTTGTGGCCTCCACCATGTAGACGATGGAAGGCAGGAACTGGCATCCTTCAACAGCATATCCCAGACCTGGGCTCTAAAATCCAGAATCTGGCTCCAGGTTCACTGCTTAACAGCTGCTTCAAATGGGAAGAACCGGGGCCACAAATGACGTTTCTGTCACCACCCCTGTCGCGTTGGACGGGCCCTGCCAAAGGGTTTGGATGACATTTGCGGTGCCCTCCCTCAAAACGGCTCAAATGAGGTGACTGCTGAGAAAGGGCTGGCTATGCCAGGAAAAAAGTGCCTGCAACTTTGGGGTTTGGGGCTGATGATACTTCTCTATGGCTTGAAAATCTGCCTGTGAGATCCCTGTGCCGGTCTGCCTGCACCTGTCCCTTGCTGAACTGCTGCAACTGAACAAAGAAGGGAAATTTACATAATCAACACCAACCTGAAAGTAAATAAATGCGGTTTGCACATAAAACGTCACGTCAAAAAAGTCTGCAGTTCTCCCCAAGGAATGGCCTAACAGGAGGTGGTGACAGTAGATGATGGTTGATGGAAAATGGGCAGAAGAGAGCCATTTATTTTAGGAAGTTCTTCTTTTGAACCAGTTTCTTTACCAAGTTTTCAGTCATCTTGGGACTCATGATTACCCTTCACTCAAATTGCAATTTAAATAAAGATATAACACGCGAAAAATTCCTTAGGGGCAAAATAAAGACAAAACACGACAGAACTTTGAAATAGAGAAAAATGATGCGGTTGCACTGAGGAGTTATAGCAGATGCTCCCTCTGCATCCCTCTTGAATGGCTTGGTGGCCTGAGGTTCAAATTTGTTTCGTATGATATTCTCTGCCTAGAAATGTGTGTGGAGAAAATTGTCTTTGCTTAAAATGGTAACATCAAAATGTCACTTTTTATATCAATTGTACTTAGTGCATTTGGGGTTGAAAAAGTATTACACTAATAAATACATGGAGTCATCAAAAAAAATAAAAAATAGAATAACATCTGCATGTGGCATTTAGCTTTAGATGAGCTTTTCATCCTTGTAGATAAGAAAAATTAAAGAATTATTGAATTCCTTCATAAGCGTAAGGCAAGCCCATCGCAGGTTAAAAATCTAAGGAATCACATGTGAATAAGAAGTTCTGGAATCGGAGGCCCTGCTAAGGGATCCTCACCTCGGTCGTTTCTCTGCCTCCGTTTTCCTGCCCGCGAACACCTCTCCAGGTGGGCCTTTCTGCTGGGCATTAGGGAATTGAAGTGCGAGTTCAAGATCAGTTTGGGGTCCACGTTTCCAGCCCGAGGAACAGTTGAGGGAGGATCTTAAAAAGCGATTTTAAGTTGACTTCAGATAAATGGCTCAGCTGGAGAGATCTGAACCTCCCAGAGGCCTGAAATGGAGGCCTCCAGTCATATCTGGCTTTCCATTTCCCACCTGGATAAGGAATTAAAGGAGTAAATTCCTTCTGGTGAAGCCCTTGCAGGTAGGGTTGCCAGATAACACTGGAGAAGAAAAATACAGGATGCCCAGTTTCATCTGAATTTCACATAAGTAACAAGGAATGTTTTAATATAAGTGTATAAGTGTATCCCAGGAGATATTTGGGACATACTTACACTTTAAAAAGTATTCATCATTTATTTATGTGCCCTATAATTTACCTGGCAGGGTCTGTTTTGATCATCGAGTCTTTGGTCCTAGGAATGGAGGGACAGGATTGCTTTACACTTTTCCTAACCTGTTTTACCCTACAAATGAGAAAAGTTTTGCTGTTACTCTCCAGTCACTCCCATGCCTTGTCCCTCCCTCCTGGTCCTGGCCGGTAGGTCATGGGCAATAGATGGACATGACCTTAAGTAACCCTGCCTGAGCTGCAGCTGAAATGCCGCCTACGCAGCCACATTGCTTGGAAGCAGCAGGGCACTTACTAAAGCAAGGATGCCAGAAAAATGCTCAAGTCCTAAAACAAACCAGGGCAGGAATGTTTTATGGCTGTTGGAAGCGTTTGATTCTAAGACATAGGGCCTCGGAGACCCAGAACATTTCCCTAAATGCAGAGCAAAACTCCTGTGTCAGCTTATTTATTTCAGTATTGCTAAATGCCACTTTTATTTTATTTTATTGTTATTATTTTATTTATTTATTTTTGGCTGCGTTGGGTCTTTGCTGCTGCACGCAGGCCTTCTCCAGCTGTGGCGAGCGGGGGCCACTCTTCGTTGCTGTGCGAGGGCCTCTCATCGCAGCGGCTTCTCTTGTTGCAGAGCACGGGCTCTAGGCACACGGGCTTCGGTAGTTGTGGCGCGGGCTCAGTAGTTGTGGCTTGTGGGCTCCAGACCCCAGGCTCAGTAGCCGTGGTGCCACGGGCTTAGTTGCTCTATGGCATGTGGGATCTTCCCGGACCAGGGCTCGAACCCCTGTCCCCTGCATTGGCAGGCGGATTCTTAACCACTGTGCCACCAGGGAAGCCCACTAAATGCCACTTTTATTACTAATAATACCTCACACTCATGTTGTGCTTTTCATCCAGGTATTGCCAGGTGCTATAGTCACATGAAGCAGCGTAGCCCTGTAGCCCCTGGATTATGCCATTATACAAAGAGCTTCTCTTTTTTTTTTTGCGGTATGCGGGCGTCTCACTGCTGTGGCCTCTCCCATTGCAGAGCACAGGCTCTGGATGCGCAGGCTCAGCGGCCATGGCTCACGGGCCCAGCCGCTCCGCGGCATGTGGGATCTTTCCGGACCAGGGCACGAACCCATGTCCCCTGCATCGGCAGACGGACTCTTCCCACCAGGGAAGCCCACAGAGAGCTTCTTTGAGGTGGGACAGACCCAGACAAAAGTTAGGACTAGTTGGGTCCCAACCTGAGCGGGTGATGGACATTAGGTACATATTCCCCACCCCACCCTATTACACTCTTAGCCTCTCAGATACAATATCAGTGCTACCTCCTCCTTTTTTTTTTTTTTTTTTAAAGCCCCAGCATTTAGCACAATGACGAATATAGCAGGTGCTCAATAATGTTTGCTGAATGACTGAATAAGGGACAAGTCAATGAACCTGGAAGTAAACTTTGAGTTCCCTTCTTTGTTTTATTTTCCTGTATGTGGGGTGTGTGGCAGTGACTGTCGGTCCTATGTCAACATCTCAGATTGCTTAGCATTTCTGAGCATGAGGTCTCTTCTGAGGCTTCCAATCCCAGCAGCACCTGCATCTGTGTCAGAGGATGGACCACGGGCACCTGGAACTGCCTTGGCTGCGTTCCCTGTATGTCCTGCCCCTGCAGCCCTTAACCGATGAGAGGGCTATAAACTCTCCAACTCCCTCATCCCCAATGGGGACGCTTAGGTGTCACCTACACCGTGCCCCTGAGGGACTGTGCCAGCATTACCCTCCCAGGGATGTGGCTTGACAACACATCCTCCTTCCCTTCCCAGTCCTGTTTCCCCACCCTACGGAACACTTCCTAATGAGTCACTTTCTCTATAATCTTCCCTCAGGGTCTGCTACTGGGGAACCCAGCTTGACACTGGAGCATTTTGACGCATCTTCTCAATGATGCTGACTCTTTTGCTTAAACCAGGAAGGACCTCCTAGGAGAAAACAACAATAGCAACAACCACCAATCTGACGATTGGCTGAAGAACAGGAGAAGATGAGGAACAGTTAGGACTTTATATCCACAGGGGCTGGAATACAGAATTTCAGCTTAGAATTTTCCTGAGCAAAGACAGCACAACTATGGGTCCCTGCAAAGTAAGCTTCAAATTATGCACACAAGCACGCAGTTCTTCTTCCAGGCTCCCCACCTGGGGACTATCTTCAGACAAGCCCCCGCGGGAGCCAGGAGTCAAGACCAGTACTTGCTGTATGATCAAGGCAGCAGCCCGCAATGGGAGGTCAGGCAGGACCTAGCTCAGAGAGTGTTTCTTCGCTTCCTTCCATTTAAATCAACGGAGCCCGTTAGCAAAATGGTGGGGGCAGGGAGGCTGAGTCAGTGTGATGGGTCAGTGGCCATGTTTCCTCAAAACGACCTTTAAAGAGGCATTTCTGCATTCCCTGGGGCTTTCTGGTCTCAAGATTTCTCAGTTGCAGAGATCAAGCTCAGATGTTTGGAGGGACTGTTCCTCTTTCCATCCACGGGTTTCAGGCAGACGCAGACCAGATGGGATGGCCCTTCATAACTTTCCTGACTGTACTACAGGGACGATGGCAGGGTTAGGTGTCCCTCAGCTCCCTGAGATTTCATTGGTTCGTTACATTTTAAAGGGCTCTGGTGATACTGCCGTAACTTACTTCGGAAGAAAACATTTATTATTAACATTGGTTTAACACTCACCTTCCTAGGGTATTTGTGGATGACACAGTCATACATCTGCCTTTTTATAGTGCTTCGCAGAGCACAAGATCTTCTGGCTGACACCTCATACATCATCAAAATTAAGACCTCTAGGCAAGCAGAAGAAAGTGGGACGGGGGTGCGCAGTGGGGCCAGTGACTGGGCATGACTCGAATGGTTCCCAAGTTAACTTTCCTTTAGTGAGAGACCGTCTCCATTAAGGACCAAATTACTTTTAACATTAAGACCTCTTCGTTTCCACGGCAACCCACAACAACTTGAGAGGAATGGTCCGCGGTGGCCATACTGCCAAGTGATGCTTCCAACCTGACTGGTGGCTGGTGGAGATGAACTCAGGGATGGGGGTCAGCCAGCCAGGGGTCAACCTCCAACTGCTGGGCATTCAACACCCCAGCTCTTCTGTGTGAAAGCCAGAAGAAACCTGGAAATCAGCAAGCCAGGACGAGAGCAGGTCCCCCATATTTTATAAACATAACTGTATCATCATAGTGTCAGAATCTTTGCTGGAGACTTAAAATAACATTAACAGATAACTATGAAGAAACAGTTAACACAAGATAACAGAAAACAAAAGGAGAAAACGGCTTATTGTTTTTTTTACTGACCTTCCCTTCAAGATCCAGCAGTGTCTGACATTTTGGGGGTCTCTTTTGCCTGCCTATAAAAAGAAAAGTGAGAGACCATAACTGTGTGGTTTCGTATGCTCTTGCACCCACAAGCCCCCTTTTCTCACTCAAATTGGCCACGCGTGACAACCGGGGAGCGAATTATTTTCCGCTACTCTTTAGCAGAGATCATGTCTGCCCAGCTTTATCTGGGCCACAAAACCTGCTTTGTAACAAAGGATCCTGACCTTTATGTTGAAAAGGAGCAACAATTATTGTCCCTAAGCCCTGGGACCATCAGCATTTTTGAGGAGAAAAAAAGAAAACCAAGAAAAAGCAAATTTCCTGAGAAGTGAGTAAGGACATATGGGGACTTCTCACTTGAGACAAGAGAAAAACTTGCATCTTTTCCACTGACAAAGTGACTGCTGTTTGCTTTGGGCCGTCAGGAGTGGACCGTGTGTAGTACGAAATGTAATACCGATCCATCTGCTGGGATCCTTTTCCTCGTCTTCTTTTGTCAACCGTGTGACGTTAACACCACCACATGACATTTGCGTCATGCATCAAACACATGCCTGATGGTCTCCAAACAATATATCCAGAGAGAAATAGAGCATTACAACCCAAAAAGGGAAACAGGAGAGGAAAGAGAGCTCTGCCCACCGGCCTCCCCCACCCCAAACTGTCGCTGATCAGTAAGATTCCCCTAAAGGCACTGGACAGCACAGAGCAAAGATGGAGAAAAGCAGACAAAGCCTTCTGCATTCTGGGAAAAGGAAACACCAACAGTGGAAAGAAACTGCTATCAGAATTGTGAAAGCATCGCTTTAAGCCATAGCTTCCCTTCACTGATGTCCTTTCTCCAGGTCCAGGCATCCAGTCTGTAGGAGTCAATAGCCTGCTATGTTGCACAGTCGGTCCTCTGTAATGCGGCCTCCCTGTCCTCAATCCCAGATTCAGGGGATGAGGAACCTGCGGATATGGAGGGCCCCAGTCCTACATCATTGTACAGAAGGGACTTGAGCATCTATAGAGTGTGATGTCCGCAGGGTCCTGGAACCAATCCCCCATGGATACTGAGGGATGATTGTACTTTTTGTTTTTAATTCCTAAATGATGGGACATTTAAGTTCGTGTCTGCAGGAATGTTTATGGAACAAACCTCCAACTGTGTATCAATGCACCAGATACAGAAGTCTTTATGGTAGGCGGGACTGGGGGTTTCTGCCCCATAACCTGCGGGCTAAGAGAGGGGAGACATGACTCCCATCTGACATAACCCCGTTTGGATGGCTAACCAGAGAGCACACGCTACTTGGGGCAAAGGTAACTAGCTTTGCTATAAAGATGTCATAAAGATGACTGGACAGGACTGGATGGCTGGGTGATGATGAACCATTTAGGGCCACTGTAAAACCACTGGGCATCGCAGGGCTCCTTCCATCTTCCAGGGACCATGGGCAACGTGCCCATCCGATGCTGCACCTCCCTCCTCTGTGCGCTCCCCGACCCTTCATTCTGCTCCATGACCCCGGCCCTCCCCGCCCTCCCTGCCCTTTCCTACCAACGCAAGCGCCACGCCCGACAGGGAGTTGTCACTTCCCTCCTCCTGGCCGTCCTTGCTTCCTGCTGACGTCTGCAGGCCGGTGTTCCGTGTTCCGGATGCCAAGGGCTTTTCCTCTGACCCGGTGAACCTGCCGGGCAATGCCTTTCCAAGCAGCGGGTGGGGAACACCTTTGAGTCACTTCGAGAAAGAGGAGACTGGGGGTGAAAGGACACGGTTTCTAAGCATGTGGCTGGAGGCAGAGCTGGGGCGTGTGTGCACACTCGCGCCTTTCACTGAGGCATGAGGGAAACCAAGCCAGGGCTTCACTGGCTGGTTCCCGTGCCAACTCCCCCACTCCCGAGTCCAACAACAGCTGGGAGGAAGGGGCTTCCTCAGACCCCCAGCTGCCCTCTCCCAACTTATCTGGACCCAGCAGACTCCAAGGCGTCCCACTGTAAACCTCACCCACCTCGTCATCTTTAAAATGTCAGTAAGCCCCTTGATCTGGGCTTGAGCAAAGGTAACATTTTTTTTTTTTTTCGGTATGCGGGCCTCTCACTGTTGTGGCCTCTCCCATTGTGGAGCACAGGCTCCGGACGCGCAGGCTCAGCGGCCATGGCTCACGGGCCCAGCCGCTCCGCGGCGTGTGGGATCTTCCCGGACCGGGGCACGAACCCGTGTCCCCTGCATTGGCGGGCGGACTCCCAACCACTGCGCCGCCAGGGAAACCCAAAGGTAACATTTTAAAGTGACACACCTGAAAGAAGTGACTCACACTCGAAGGGAAAGACGCTCCCTGTCCCTCCCACCCCCAATCCCCAGCCCTGGTACATAGACCTGACAGACACAGGGGTAAAGAGAAGGGTGGGACTCCCCCCAGATCTTTCCTTCATCTGTCCTAAGCAGCAGGAGACCCTAGTGGGCAGGGCTGGGACTCCAGGGCCAGACCCCTCCTGCCTGCATCTCGGCTCTGCCAGTGGCATGTTCCGGGACCCTGGGCAAGTCATTTAACCTCCCAGTGCCTCCAATTATTTTCTGAAAAATATAAGTAACTTACCTGCCATGTGGGGTTGTCAAGACGATCCAATGAGTTCAAGCATACAGAGCATTTGGACACGCCTGGCCACTGTAGGCACTCCACAACCTGCCTTAAACACAGAAAGAAGACGATCGTGCTCTAAGAAAGGTCAAGGAACTCTACCACGTTCTTAACGTTACTTCTCTGTATCGACTATTTACACTGAAAATGATGACATGGAAGGAAAGAAAGGGCAACCTCGCTTTCTTTTCCCTTCAGTCCTCCCTTACTCGTCAGTCAGATGAAGGCGGAGGATGTTGGTCAAAAGTCTGTATATCGAGAAGTGAAATAAGAACAGTTCCATGCAGCATTTCCACTGTTCTGGTAGCGATGAACTAGAGATGAACATACGAGTTAGGAAATACGATTTGTGTCACTCTGGTGATTCCACATCTGAGTTAAAAGCTCTTCCATGTGCATTTAAAACCGTCCTTGTATGATCTAGAGATGAAGGGTAAAGATCGTGCTAGTAAATAATATTTATTTATCTATTTATACTTGGAACAGTACTACATAGCAAATAAAAAATACTATGACAAATCAGAGAGAGGCCACCAAAGAAAAGGAGAAGGCCTTATATTTTAGGACCTTTAACGACACTTTTCCTGCTTTTTTGAACAAGGGGCCCCCATTTTCATTTTGTAAATTACGTAGCGGGCCGTGCCCACAGGCCGACTGCTTGGTGCTCTTCTCACCTCTCATTCAGCCTCATTTCTTTTACAGCTGGGAGAGTTTAAAGGGAGGGGCTGGGGAGGCAGAGGAGAGCTGCTGAGGTATTTTCAGCTGGGGCCTGACTTCCCAGGGGCACTTAAATCCCCCGGAGGCTCCTTTAAGGACCCTTGGCAACCTGTGGTCAGTGCTGTCACCAGCTGAGAGGATGGCATGGCCTCCCCCCTCCCCAACCATCCAGTGTTTGCCAGATGTCAGATCTGAAAGGCAGTTCCAGCCAGAGGAAGATGATACCCGCATCATGAAGGTGGGAGTTGCCAGCCAGGACTCAGGCCCGAGGACCGGCCTGGTGCTTTGCTTTAAATGGCTGAAGCAGAGCAGGGTTGTTATTTCTCTTCCTGGGATCAAAATCAGACAGATCTCCTATTTGGCTTACCAGGCAATAAGTGGATAACGCCAGTGAATGTCAGTGCAAATTACAGCTCCAGACTCCTGTCGGCAGCCTTGTGCTGCTTCTTGTCACTTTAATGCAAAGAGACAGCATGGAGCTGATAAGAAGCCAGAGGGTGGGGGACTGGAGAGGCCGGCTCTGTCGGGGACAGGAAAAACGCATGGTGGAGAGACTCAGACAGTAAAAACCCACAGCCATGATCTCCTTGACTGCCTGCTGGAAAGCGGGCATTGAGGGCGTGAGGTGCCTGGACAGCGCCTCTTAGGTTTTTACAAACTGAGCAGCTACCTCATCTATTCATTTACCCACGCACCCACCCACCCATCCATCCACCCATCCTCCTCTGTTAATGAGAGCCCGACTGGGCCTCTGGGCACACTGGGATTCTGAGGGACTCATGGGGTGTCCATCTTGATCAGCTTGCGGCCACTTTCCTGGGGTTGATTCTAAGAAGAAGTTTGAAGAACTGCTGGGAGGAAACACCTCTCTTTCTAGCAAAAAAAAAAAAAAAAAAAAAAAAGGGTGCTTTAGGGCCTTTTAATATGTCTAAAACAGCCCAGGGACTGCTCAAAAACTCCAGTTTTACTCAATTAAATTGCATTTTCTAAGCTGGTGGGTGTCACTGTTTCAGAGACCCCCTCAGCTGAGAGACAAGCTCTTCCTTCCAGCCGGCTGCAGAAAGAAGTCTCACATTTTCGGGTGCCAGGATTTGAGTGTGTCCATCTGTCTTGAAGCCTGCAAGGGTCAGCTCCCATTAATATGCAGCTACACTGTATCTCTGCCCACATCACACATTTGAGGAACTGATGCAGTCAAAAGGAGAAGCCAGGTCTTCCTACAGCTGTGCTGGCAAGCTAGTATCTAAGGAATTAGAAAATGGGCCAAGAAAGTAACTATAGGAGATACCCATCTTGCATATCTTCATGAGTTCCTCGATGACTGTTCTCTCTCTCAGCTGCTGTCCCACCTGCCCCTGGAAGCCCTTCACCTTGAACGCAGATGAAATCCCTCACCATAGGGCACAGAATCTGGCTTCATGGGCCATCATCAGGGGCTGGATAATGCAAGGGAGCTCACGCACCTTGGGGTGAATGTTAACCTAGGAGGTAGAAGGTAGGAGCAGGGCAGATAAATTCCTCCACCTTCCGTTCTCCCGTGAATGACACTGGATCATGAGTCCTTCTTGCAGCCTTTCTAGAGAAGCTCCGTACTGAGTAAACCTGGTGTCCCCTCACTGCTCAGGGGAGTTCACGGTGAAACAAGGCCACCACGGTGACATGGTACATGGCATCACGTGACTCCTTGTCTCACTTCCTTGTTTCCACCTCCATCGCCCTGGGTTTGCACCTTCTAACCAAGTCATTAGAACCTTAATCCTTGCTCAGGGTCAGCTTTCTGGACCAAGGCAGTAAATAATAATACTTGTTCAACACCTGCTATGTGCCCACAGGTACTGTGAGGACATTCAAAACTGATTACGGAACTTGGGAAAGTCATTCAGGATAGCAGGACCTGTATCCCACGGTCACCCAGAAAATCATATGCAGAGTGGGAGTGAAATTGTTGAAACTGAGTAAAAAATGGCTGGTGAAAAAAAGAAGGAAAAGAGTAGGGGGGGTGAGTTTAGTGAAGACAGGGTGGCATCAGATCTGCGGGGGACAAATGAAGAAAAGAGGGGCTTCTGTATTCCTCGAGACTTTTGATCAAGATTCCAGGCCCCCAACTTGGTCTCCAAACTGGGAAAGATGTCCGTTTTCTAGATTTCACTTATGCAATGAGTTAGGGTTTTCTTCACAGCAGAAGTAATGAGAGAGTGAAGGAGGGACAGCTTTCAGTACCAGTGTACTAGTTATCTACTGCTGCGTAACAAATTACCTCAAAACTTAGAGGTCTGAAACAACAGTATACATTGTCAGGGTTTTGATTTTAGCCATTGTTGTGTGTGCGTGGTGGCATCTCATTGTGGTTTTGCCTTGCCTTTTCCTCACGGGCGGTAATGTGGAGCACCTTTTCATATACTTATTCCCATTTGGATATCTTTTTTGTGAAATGCGTGGTCGAATCTTCTGCCCATTTTTTCCTGCTGGATTGCTGGTATTTTTATCAATTTAAGGCCATGAGTTACATATCCTAGATAAGAGCCTTTTGTCAGATAAATAAATGGCAAATGTTTATCCCCTCAAAAAAAAAAAAAAAAACCAAACCCAACAGTAAACAATTAGTATCTCTCACAGCCTCTGTGGGTCAGGAACTCGGGAGCAGCCTGGCTCCAATCTCTCATGAAGTTAAGGTCAGATGTTGGCTGGGCTGCAGTCAGATGAAGGTCTGACTGGAGCTGGGGGATCTGACTCCAAGGTGGTTTGTTCACACGGTTGCTGGCAGGAGGCCTTAGTTCCTCTCCACGAGGACCTCTCCTGAGGCGCTACTCGAGTGTTCTCATGACATGGTGACTGGTGATCCAAGAGACCAAAGCAGAAGCCACAATGCCCTTTATGACTTTGCTTCAGAAGTCACACACTGTTCTCTGCAACCTACGCTACTGATCACACAGGGAGTCCTGATATAAGGCAGGGAGAGCATATTCAAGGGCACGGGGACTAGTAGGTGAGGACCCTGTAGGGAGGAAGAGCGTTTTTGGAGACTGGACCGTAACAGCATCCTGGAACATCAGAGCTGAGAGAGTTCTTAGAGATCATCTGTTTCAACATCCTCATTCAATAGCTGAGGAAAACAAAGGTCAGCAACATTAAGTAACTCACCCCAGGTCACTCAGTGAATCATCTGTTCACACTAAACAGTGCCTGCAGGAAGCCCATTTTACGAAGCCGTGTGAGAATCGCAGCCCGTGGTCAACCTGGGTCACTACACTGATCAAGGCAGTCAGAGGTGATGCTTTAAATAAGAGCTGCTGAATGAATCCAGTGCAAAGCTGATGACAGCAGTTCATTCATTCATTCACAATATATTTATTGAGTGCTTTCTTGAAGTCTGGCACTGTTCTGGGCACTGGTGAACAGGTAAGCAAAGACATGCTTCTGCTCTCATGAACCTTACAGCGTAGGGAAGACAGACATTGGGTAGCCTCACAAATAATGGAAATATTACAACCATGGCAAGTACTTTGAAGAGGAGGTTGAAGCACTGTGTGAACACAGAATACTGAGTTCGTTTCAGCCAGGGAGGCATCTCCAAGGAAGTGATGATTCAGTTATCACTTGACAGCCTGAAAGTGAGTTCCACTAACAATGAGATGATTTTTGTTCACAATTTATTTGTTTTTCAGCTATTGTATTTTCCACCTCCAGATGTTCCATTTGGGGTTTTTTTTTATGTCTTCTATTTCTCTCATAATTGAGTTTGTGTTTTCCTTTAACATCCTTGAATATATTTATAAGATTTATCACAGCAATTTTAATATCCTTGCCTGCTAGTTCCATCATCTCTGCCATTTCTGGGCATATTTCTGTTTTATTTTACTCCCAGTTATAAGTCATATTTTCCTGCTGTTTTGCACGCCTGGTAATTTTCTATTCGATGCTAGGTAACAGTATTAGGTATCAGATTTTGTTTTATTCCTTGAGAGAGTGTTGGACTTTGCCCTGGCACACAGTTACTTGGAAACAGTTTAATCTTTTCAGGGCTTGCTTTTAAACTTTCTTATGCTATGCTATCTTTGTTACGCTTTAGTCTAGGACTAATTTAGCCCTATGATTAAGGCAATACCCTTCTGGAACACAACCCATGTGTTACAGGGTCTGCACCAACGTTTTCTAGCCCTGTAAGAACTCCAGGAATTGTTCCAGCTGCTCCTTTTATGGGGCTCTTTTTTCTGCCTCAAGGAACTTTTTCACATGCAGGTGATGATCAGATATCAAAGACAAGGTTTCTAACCTGACAATGTCTGGAGTTTTTCTCTGTGTGTAGAACTCCCTTCACTCTGGCATTCTGCCCTGAAAACGTGAACTTCCTTGGTCTCCCACAACTCTGAACTCTGTCTCCTCAAGTCCGCAAGCCCACCATCTGGGTTCTCTCTAGACAGTGAGCTGGTGCCACCGCAAGACCCATCTTGCTTATTTTCTTTCACCTTGACTGTTGTCCAATGTTGAAATTGTTGTCTCATATATTTTTTCTGGTTTTCTAGTTGTTTAAGGAGGGGTATATATCTAGTCCCTGTTACTGCATCATGGCATATGTTTTCTTTGACTTTGTAAACAGCTTTATTGAAGCATTATATATATATATATATATATATATATATATATATACATTTAAAGTATAAAATGGACAAGTCTTGATGTATACACATGGAACTATCACCACAGTCAAGACAATGGACATATCCATCACTCCAAAAGTTTCTTCATGCCCCTTTTGCAATCTGTCCTTCTGGTTCCCTGGACCCTTCCTCCCAGACAACCACTGATCTGCTTTTAGTCATGACAGATTAGTTTGCATGTTCTCAAGTTTTATATAAGTTCCTTTTTGTCTGGCTCCTTTCAATCAGCATAATTATTTTGATTCATGCACCTTGTTGGTTGTATCACTAGTTTCTCCCTTTTTCATTGCTGAGTAGTATTCCATTGTATGGATATACCACAATCTGTTTGGTTATTTTGTTTATACCATATTTACTTATTCATTATTGATGGACATTTTGATTGTTTCAATTTTAGCTATTACAAATAAAGCTCTTATGAACATTTATGTAAAAGTCTTTATATAGACACGTGCCTTCTTTTTTCTTGGATAAGTAATTAGGGATAGAACGTATGATAGGTGTATGTATAACTCTTAAAGAAACTGTTTTCTAATGGCATTTGTTTTAAAGCCAGTTTTTGTTTTGTTTTGTTTGTTTTTGGATCCATGTGGTGGTGTGGTAAATCTGAGGTGTTTGGATGTAAATGTTCAACTTTTCTTATGCTGAAGCGTTGAGCAACTGTCATATTGATTAACCTCAGCTCTCACCAGTTTGGAAAGTAGACCTTCACCACAAGGTGGAAAAATAAGAGAAAAGAATATGAGGGGCTCCCAGCCTGGCTGACAGCAGTGCAAAAAGAGACAGAACTCTTGGATTTTTTTTTGCTTTGAGGCATTTAAATGGAAATTGAAGTGAAATTTGCTCTTTTTGGATAGCTCATCTGTTTCTTGTGATTTTTGAAAATATAAAATGTTGGAGAACTTAGGTCAGAGCTGTTTTTTTGAAGTTTTGAGCTATTTCCTTGATGTTGGGGCTTTGAAGCTCCTGTCTGTGAATAAATTCAGCCTTTGTTTCACCTTTCCCTGCTGAACAATGCCAGTGAGTTAGAAGGAGATATCCAGTAGGGATAAGTAGCTTTTCTTTGATCCACATACAAATCGAGCTACATTTAGCCAACAGAGGAATGGGATTCACAAATGCCTGTGTGGCTCTGAATCAGGCGTCATATTTAATAGAATGGGCAGCGGCAGTGCGATCTATCTCCACTGCCTCCTTTCCCCTTCCCCAATGCCCAGCACAGATGGATTCTCTTAAAGGAGCTTCCTTATGGCAGTCAATATTTTTATACTTCTGCTAACATCTCACACAATTTGAGATGCCTGGCACTTGGCAATATTATGTTAGCACAGAGACCCTTGAAAGCCGCATGATGGCTGGGGAGGTGGGGAGGAATACGGTGTGGGGAGAATGCCCAGTCACCCTTCAGCCGCCTCTGTCATCCTAACAGTGCAGAAGCAATTAGAGATCAGATATCCAGGGCCCTCATGTACTGCTGGACCTGCCGACAGCCTCAGAGCAGGTGACAGCTTCTCTGGAGAGGGCGTCACCACTCCCTCAGAAACAGCCTGCCTCTGACTCTGCGGCCGGCTTGGCTCACAACGCAGCTTGAGGACATTCGTGTCCACGTTCATAAATGACCTGGGACAGAAATGCTAAATGATCCCCTCATGGCCTTTTCTTAACTGGCCCTTTAAATCTTCAGCTGTGTGATGTGGGCTGCAGCCGGGAAAGGGGTTCTATTGATTATTCTGTTTCCCATTGTTGAGTTTAGGCTTTATTCTTAATAATGATGCTGCTTCCTGTTTTGTTATGTGAGGCTCCACCTCCCACCTTCCCGTCCGCAAACATAATCTGGGTAACTTTTTGGCACTGAGCCCTCTGGCCTGTGGCCACCCCACCGATGCTGGCTGTGGCTCTGTCTGTGCCTCGAGACAGGGGCTACTCACACTAGCCTGGGGCCGAGCCTCTCCACCTGGGCACCTGGCGGACTCTCAATGCTGATTGATACAGATGAAAAGTTAGACACCGGGCACAGCTGACAGTGATGTCACAACTGATGGCAGTTTGGAGAAAGGAAGGCCATCCACCAAGCATCTTGGTTCTCTGGCAGGTGACAGGCAGAGGACTGAAGGCATCTCCTTCTTGGCTTCCTCTTCCTTAGGGATACTGGTCATGCTGGGGAAATAAACATGCAATTGATTTTGTTGCCTCCAATCCCTCGGTACTGTGGCTGAATGGCTGCGGTTGTCATGGCAGCGAGCAACATTTTTGTCATCATCTATGGCCTTCTCCTCTCCCCTGGGAAATGTCTGACATGATTCTGGTTCTCCACGCTGGTTCTGTTCCTTGCCTTTTTGGGATGGATGCTTCCTCCTTGCCTCTGATTGGGGAGAATTTCTATTGGTTTGGAGGGACTGGCTGATGTGTGGGAAAGATGGGGGCAGGCTGAGAAAAGAGAATCAGAGGAGGGACAACATTTTTTGTGTGAAGTGGGGAGATTGGAGCAAGGGGACAAATGGTCACTGGGTGACAGAGGAGGAAGGGAAAAGGGAACAAGAAGGGAGATGGGCACAGAGAGAAGCAGAGAGGGACAGAGGGAGGAGGGGCACACAGCAGGGAGGACACCCTGCCCTCCAGAAACCCCTCGCTCACACACGCAGATCCGCTCCTACAGCTGTCAGAGCTCCTCCCGTGTCCCCGCCCCCACAGGCTTGTTCAATGTCCTCCACCCTCTACAAGCCCCTAAGCCTCCGGTGGGCAGCACAGCCTTCTCCTCAGTCCCCAGCCCACCGGCTCCACCACGTGCCTCATAATATCAGGCAATTCAATGCCGAATGAATTAATGCATGGATGGACATTCAAATGCTTTTTAAGATTGAAATAATTGAATGAGGCTTTGGGGGACTGATGAATGGGAATCTAGATCCCTAGAGACAGATGGTCAAACTCACCTGCCAGTTTGTGGGTTTGTGCTGAGAAATGCAGTTTCGAAGAAGAGTGGAGATAGATAGATATTATATTGGTTGGTCAGAGGGTGATCCTCTTTGAGAGAAATTCCCCCAGTTCTGGGCACCTGCCTGAGGCTGCTCTTCTGATGCGTCGATTATGGTGGAAGTAAAGCAGGTGTCATTGGCCAACGTGGCAGGTCGCCTTCCCCAGTGTCTTCATCTCCAAGCATCCCACCCTGCGATGCCTCAGGATCCTGCCCTACAGGATGGGGAACGAGACTTGGAGAAAGTGGTTTCTTATCCCAGTTGTAGGGTGGCGTCAGATGATGGCTGTGACCGCATTTGGAAAGGTGTAAAGCCATGTCCCTACTATGGTCCCAGGGCACGTCTTGAAGTAGAAATCCTGACTGTTCTGGGCACAGGCCCTTCTTGCAGGCTCCTTGGAGAGGAGTGACAACAAGGACGGGTGAAATGAGAAAGGAGAGGGGAGAATGCCTCTGGGTTTGCCTCCTGGGAATGCTCCATATAAAAGGCTGGACCTTGTGTTCCTTCTGATATGGTCAGAGCTGTGCGTAGTCTCATGCCTGAGCCCAATCCTAGGAGGAAGAAAAGGTTTACAGTGGAAAATACCAGCTTATGTCCAGTGCTGGCAGTGGCCAATTTACGGGAACAAACGGGCAAACAGGGAGACTGACCCATGTTGACCAAACTCACAGGGGAGTGATGGATAAACCCAAATGCTACTTATTTGTGCAGCATTTTTCAAGTTCTTTGGAATCCGAAAATCTGCCCTGGTAAATAAACCTTCTGTATGACTAATCACGTGACACTGTCTAGTAAAAGAAAAATGGTCCATTAAGCCTTGTTCCCAAGAAAGGCAGGAAATGGGGCAGGAAAAGTTTGTTGTCCTTTCCACTTATTTATTCTTGCTTTTTGACTCAAGCAAGGGAACCTGATTAGAGGAAAAAATAAATTTCCACTAAATGTAACCCTAATATTTTCCTTTTGAATGTAACCCAGATTATTAGCTACCTCCCCCCACCTGGTGGAGATCCAGGTAAAGCTGGCTTGAGCCATCAGATTCATGACCTTTAGAAACCTAGAGCCACCCCCCAAGATTTCTGCACATCCTAAGGGGGCTCACGTGCTCATGGCTTCTTCTGTCTTCCCATGCCCTGCCCTGACGTTTGCTTATATGTCTGTGGTCCTTATTTTGTGCTGTTACATGCCACAACTCTTGTCAAGTGTATCAGGATTCTCTCTCACACAAAATATCTGTGAGCTGAGCAGAATTTGCCAACTATTTCAGTAGTGAAAGGACTAGAAGGGGAGAATGAGAACAGACTTCTGTCACAGAAACACAAGTTCAAAATCCAACAAGAGAGCATCTCTGATCCTCAAGTGGCCTCTGGCCACCGCACACTGACACTTCCCTGCTCTCTCCCACCTCTCCCCATCTTGCCCTTTCCCCTGCTCCTTCTTCTTTCCTTTATTCTCTCCCAGACTCTCCTAGTAGTTAAAGAAATGCCTCCCACATTTTTTTTTTTTTTTGGTACGGCAGAGTGGCTTCAACTTCAAGACCTCACATTCTACCCCAAGTCTTTATTAAGGTCTTTTTTCCAAACAAAGGTAGTTCCCCTGCCCAAGAGGCACTCCCATACTGCTAGGATAACAGGGTTGTTGCCTCTGCTTTCCTAGACATATCCTACTGTGCTTCTCCATCTCAGTTTCCTCTGAGAAATCCAGGGGTTTAGCTATAATCGGCTCATCCCAAACGCTACTCCTTTTAGGAAAATCCACAGACCATACTCCTGTTTGTTACTTCCTGGCTGCTTGTGGGAGAAACCAGCTGTGGTATCTTGGACAAAATACTTAAACTCTCTAAGCCTCCTTGGGGAAGGAAATGACAGGTAACATACAAAGCTACTGGAAAGATCCAAGTAACACGATGTATATGAAAATGCTTTGTCAGTCACAGAGCCCAGTGAAATTTATGATTGTTTACTCATGAATGCCAAGCAAGGCATCCATTGGCTGTCCGAGTGTTTATGTATCTTCCTTTCTTGGTGACAGCAGCTTGACTACTGCACTAGTCCAAACACTCTGGGGCCTCTTTCTCATGTACAGCCAGAGGCTATGTAGTTGGTGCACATAAAGAACACCTGATGAGGGACTTCCTGGTGGTGCAGTGGTTAAGAATCCGCCTGCCAACGCAGGGGACACGGGTTCGATCTCTGATCCGGGAAGATCCCACATGCTGCGGAGCAACTGAGCCCATGCGCCACAACTACTGAGCCTGTGCTCTAGAGCCCATGAGCCACAACCACTGAGCTCACGCACCGCAATTACTGAAGCCCGCATGCCTAGAGCCTGTGCTCCGCAGCAAGAGAGGCCACCGCAATGAGAAGCCCACACACCATAACAAAGAGTAGCCCCCGCTTGCCACAACTAGAGAGAAAGCCCGTATGCAGCAACGAAGACCCAATGCAGCCAAAAAATTTTTTTAAAAAAAATTTAAATAAAAAAATTTAAATAAATAGTAAGTTGGGGGGAGAAAAAGAGCACCTGATGAGTAGAGAACTAGCCATCCTGCAAGAGGTGGAGCATCTAAGGCTATGGAAAGTCTCTATTTGAGGGACAAAGAAATGCCCACATGCCTACACACAATCTTTGTCTCTGAGCCCCTTATCATTTACAGCAAGCACTACTTAAAAACAACAACAACAACTAATCCTCTTCTTCTACTTCATTCCACAAACAATATATTTACTGTAGATTATTAGAAGTAGTGGTTGGAGAGAGAGGATGATAGAGAGAGAGACTTACCTGCAGCCCCCCACCCAGAGAAAACCACTATAATGTTTTAATGTTGATGAAGCCTCATTTTGTGTCTGTGTGTACTTGCTGTGAATTTCTCCATGACATTTTGGTGCACAGTAGATCAGACTTCTTTTATTTTTCCCATAAATTAAAACTATGTCAGTCACCCACCTTTTAGATCCATTCACTCATTCAACAGATATTAATTGAACGCTTATGATGTGCCAGACACTCTTCCAGGTGTGGGGGAAACAGCAGTGAGAGAACAAACGTCTCTGCCCTTGTCCAGCTGACATTCTAATCGGGGGAGACAGACGATAAACAAACAAGAAAAATAGTAGGACAGCTGGGGATAAACGCCATGGAAATATCACAGCAGGGAAAGGGCTTCGGGAGTGTCAGGCAGGCTGAAATTTTAAACAGGGTGATCAGGGAAAGTCTGAAAGCAACAGCCTGAAGGAGACAAAGAACTGAGCCATCTGGAGACCATAGGGAAGTGTGTTCCAGCAGAGGGAACAGCACGTGCAAAAGCCCTGGGGCAAGAGTGTGCCAGGCATATGCTGGGAACAACAGGGAGGTCAGTGTGACTGGAAGAGAGTGTCGGCGTAGATGGGGTGTAGAAGATGAGATAGGGAGGTCACGGAGCCTGAACGTGCAGGGCCTTGAGGGCCAGCGAAAGGATCGGGCTGTCCTCTGATTAGTGATGGGACACTACTAGGAGATTCGAGCAGAGCAGTTACACAGTCTGACTGAACATTGAGGATAAACTACAGGCGGGCAAAGGTAGGAGCAAGGGACCTGTGATGAGGCTATTGCGATAATCCAAGAGAGAGATGCTAGTTATCTGGACCAGCAGGATAAGGGAGGTGGTGAGGTGAGAGGGCGTCTTGATGTATTTGAAGATGGAACTGAAATGTGAGATGGGGGAGTTGCTTTCACTCCCTTTCTTGCAGTATAGTATTGCTTGTTTTGAAAAAGGGGCCCAGAATGTTGAGGTGTTTGAGGGGGCCCAGCGAATAGCACTCCCTTTCTTACTTCCTCACTTGAGTCCTGATCCAATTGAGAAATAAACAAAGGTACAGTAAGGCAGATGGAGACTAGAAGGTCACTGATACAGAGAAAACTGATGTTGGAGAGGTGTGTACTGGCTACATGTCCTTCCAAATCCTGAATCCCAGAATAAGGCATCTCACTCACCGCATCATCACCAAGAGGCCTGTCCTGTGAGATTTACCACATGGGAGAGCAGACCCAAGAGGGTCTGGGCGATTCCCACCCAGCTTCTCCTTCCAAACTCACAATCTGATTAAGCCCCTCCCTCCAGGGAGGGTGACAAGGATGGGGTAGCTGGAGGGATGGAGAGAGTGCAGGGGTGTCATACCAGGGGCGCTGCCTCCACTTGGATGGAAGCGTCTTGGGGAGATAAGCTATCCCCACCCCCAGTCCCCCACCAACACACCTTCTGAAAGACAAAAGGCCCCTTTAGACCCCTTGGAAGTGGGGATTCACTCTTCCAGTGGTGAGCAAGGGGGCCCTGCACAGTTCTTGTCAGGATGATGAAACACCAAACATCATGGCATGTGTAGACACTGCTGTGCAGAGAGAGGAGTATGCGCGCGCGCGCATACACACACACACACACACACACACACACACAAACAGGATCATGCTGTATGATCATAGCATATTTTACAACTGCTCCTTTCACTTGATAATATATCTGGACTCTGCTTTCAGTAAATATACTTTTTTTTTTTTTTTTTTTTTTGTTTGTGCGGGCCTGTCACTGCTGTGGACTCTCCCGTTGCGGAGCACAGGCTCCGGACGCACAGGCTCAGCGGCCATGGCTCACGAGCCCAGCCGCTCCGCGGCATGTGGGATCTTCCCAGACCGGGGCACAAACCCGTGTCCCCTGCATCGGCAGGCGGACTCTCAACCACTGCGCCACCAGGGAAGCCCTCAGTAAACATACTTTTACAAAACCATTTTAACGGCCAAATATCACTCCACTGTGTGGTATACCCATCTTTTGGTAACCAACCTCCTATTGTCGGTCATCTGGCTTGTTTCCAATCCTTGGCTACTATTAAAAACAAATAAATAATTAAAATAAAAATGGTCTGAACCTTCTTGTAGCTAAATTGGTTCACGTGCTTGATTCCTAAAGCTAAATTCCTGACATTGGAATCGCTGGGTTAAAAGGCAGGCATGTTTTTAACACTGTGGTTACAGTTTGCAAAATTCTGCAAGTCCAGGATGCAAAGGACAAAAAGAATGGACAAAAGAACCAGTTTCCCTTGTAGGCTGTGGGCTCCCACACTGGACCTCCTGTGTCCCCCACAGGCCCTTGCACTGTGCAGGGCATGCTAGAACTTCAGCTCATTGTGTGTGGGCCAGTGGGCTGAAGAGAAGCAATGGGAAGGGATGGTAGGTCTGGGCCTTCTGTACGTGATGAAGGCAAGTGCATTTTCAAGGGTGAGCAGGGGCCTCTCCTGGTTGGTACAGCTGACATGGTGGGTCCCAGGCCAGCCGCCCATGCTCTCCCTCTGCGCCCGAGCGGATCTCAAATCAGAAAAGGAACATCTTCTGGCTTCATTTGTCATGAGATTCTCCCAGATGACCCGCTCCCAGAACAGCTATCTATGGGCTCAAGGATACACATGGCCTTTGCTTTGTCCCCAAGTCTGTGCCTGGAACCTGGACCCTTGTGTGCCATTTTCACACTCAACAATTCCTGGAATGCTTATGCCTCTTTGAATGGCATCTCTGAACAGTTGTTTAGTTCACAGGCTAATATTTTCCACGCAGCACCTCCAAAGAAAATCTGAGTGCACACGGCCCCACGGAAAGAGCTGACTGCCGATACTCCCAGTGGCAGGACGTTTTTCTGGTGGCTGAGACTAAAAGCTGCAGAAGGATTTTCAGTTTCTCGGGGAAAGAACTGAGGGAGGGTCTCACTGTGCCCAGGGAAGGCGGCCCCCCAGAACAGGGAGGTGGGCTCCACAAAGCAAAGCCTCCCAGAGCATGGTGGAGAGCTTAGGGTAAAAACAGGCCTCTGTTCAAAGCCCAGTGCCGCCGCCCTCACTGTGGGAGTGTGGGCAGGTTACCTGACCTCCCTGTGCCGCAATGTCCTTAGCTGAAAATGAAGGGAGCAGAGTTTAGCGTCCAGGGTTGTGTAAGGATCTAACTGAGGAAATGTGCATATTAATTACAGGGTAAGTGCCCCCAAAGCGGTAGATGGTACTCTAGCATCAATACCACCAAGTGGAGACAATAGGATCCCAAAGAAATGGATTAAAGAAACCACTGGACAGGGGAGGGGGTGGGGCAAATTAGGGGTATGGGATTAACAGATACAAACTACTATGTATAAATGATAAGCATCAAGGATATATTGATGGGAATTATAGCCATTATCTTGTCGTAACTTTTAATGGAGTATAATCTGTAAAACTACGGAGTCACTATATACCTGAAACCAATACAACATTGTAAATCAACTATACTTCAATAAAAAAGGACCCCTGGACATCTCTAACATCGTTATGTCCCAAGGGTGTAGCACACAGTCAGCACTCGGTAAATATTTGAGGAATTTGATGAATGAATACGTGCTAGACCACGTCAGCCATGTAGGCAGCAACGGTGAGAAGCTGGTCCCTGGAGAAGCTAAGAAAACTTCCATGACGATAACAATATTATTAATAAAAGTAGCAGAGGATTCTATAACACTCAGGTGCCTGACACTACACCTCAGATCACCCTTGCAAGGTGGTGCTTCACCTCCATTTACAGAGGAGGACACTGAGACACAGGTCACATAACACTGAGTCACAGGTCACAGTCAGAGGGCAGAGCAGCGTCCACGTCTGGATCCTGGGGCAGGGGGACAGCAGGCTGGGGGCTCTCCTGGCTTGGCGAAGGTGGCTGGGGGCAAGGAGAGTGAACTCAGCTCAGGGTGGAAGGCGAGGAGGACCAGGGCTCAGAGACATGGCCCCTGCCCACCCAGGAAGGGCAGGATAGGCTGTGACCACAGAGACAGGTGATGGAAGAGAAGAAAACCAGGAGGAGCCTGTTTCATCTCCGAGCTGTACACTGAGAGGGTATGTTTACTCACAGTGGGCCGGGGCCGGTTCTCAGGGTTTCACGTGTACCAACTCAGTCCTCCCAGCCTGATGGATTCTGAGCTCCCAGGTTTGCTCGGCGGGCTGCTGTTCGTCTGCATCACTTTCGTCACCCAGGTGATTAATTTTAGCTAGAATAACAACACACAGCTATTCAGAAGAGCTCTGTTATTGACATTCCTATTGCAAACAGATGGCATGCCTGTTACAAAGCTCCAGCCCTTTTTCGTTTTCCTGTATCTCTCTTTCTTTCCTCTTTACCCCTTTTCTTTCTTCCCAAAGCCTTAGAATATAACTTTGTTCACAGGAAGTTTCTTAGGGGCATTTTTATCACCTCTACCTGAGGACAAACAGGAAAAATACCAGGACCAACACAGTCCTCCCAACATGGCCAAAGATGCTTGGATGGGGGACCCGCAGGGAGGGTGGGGTTGCTGAGCCCCACGTTGGGGGAGTGAAGCCACTTGCTCCCCAATTTGCTGAGACTACGGCCGTGAGGGCCCCGTCCGAGCCTTGGCCAGCTCCTAGGATGTGGCCAGACTTGTCAGCTGGGGTGTCTGCCAACCATCCTCAGCATATGCCCCAGGCACCCAGGAGAGAGAGACTGGCCAATTGGGAGCAGTAGGATGGGCAGGGCCCCAGAGCTGCCAGGGTTTGAGGCTCCCTGGAGAATTGGCCTGTTCTAGAGTCATGACCTTTGACAGTGACTGACTCTGTATCCGGGTCTTCAACCTTCCTTATTTCACAGGGAGGACTCGCCACACTTAGGCTCCACAGTGTCCCTTCCCAGAGCATTCTGGGCTGAAGGCCCTGCCTCCCTCCCTCCCCTGCTCTATCCCTGGTCCTGGTTGAAGCAGATGGGAGGGGTCCACAAGGGAACAACTTGGGTGTTTGAATCTCATCCCCTCTGTCTCTGCGTGAGTGTCCAAAGGACTTTTCTGAGCCATAAAGGGACCACTTGTGGCTCAGCATTCCCAGAGAAGTTCTTCCTTCATCTCAATACTCTGCTCGGAAACCTGGAGCCTTTCAGCAGCAAAAAATAAGCTACTGTGTGTGAGGTCCGGCTGTGCTGCCCTTCCCCGTCAAGAAGCTGGTGGCTGGCCCCTTCCTGAGCTACGTGGCCTCTCCCAGCCTGTGTGTCCACCTCTGGTGTTGGGGCTCCTTGGGTTTTGTCCCAGATGTCTAGCTTACAGTCGAGCTTCTCAGAGTGGTCCCCACACCAGCAGCAGCAGCAGCAGCATCACCTTGGAGCTTGGTGGAAATGCAGATTCCCAGGTCTTCTCACACATCTGCTAAGTCAGAATCTGCACTTTGATGAGACCTTGGTTGATCAGTATGCAATGGAAGTTTCAGGAGCCTTGACCTGCACCTGGCCATTTTCAATTCTGGCTTCATGTTAGGATCGCCTGGGGAGACTGTGCAGTGTACCAGTGCCAAATCCGGGGTGGCAGAGGGCAGAGCCTGGGAATCTGTAGTTTTCCAAAGCTGCCCCGTGATTCTGATAGGCAGCCACCGGTACAGATGAAGGGGCAGTGATGGGATCTATTTGCAACTTCCTTAAACACTCCCTCCTGCCTCCCCCTGGGGCAACAGAACCAGAACTTCCTTCCCATCCCTTTGTACCACTCACTCTTGCCTTCCTTTACTCCTCGATCTCTTGAGTTGTTTTTCCTTCTGTTCTGGGCAGACTTAGGAGAATCTCCTTGGATTTGGGGCTTGCTCTGCCCATCAGCTTTGGCCAGACTCGGGCCACCCTCCCTGGAAGCTCCACCTTGGTCTGACCTAAGTGCTCCCAGCTGTGGAACATTTATTTTGACAAGCCTGACTCCCGCCCAGCAAAAAGCAAATCTGCCCAAAGTTCAGCCTGTGGGCGTGACCAGTGACCAGCAATGCCGCCACCCACACAGCCTCACACTGACCTCGCTCTCAGGCTGACTCTTTCTGGTCTCCATCTGGCACAAAGAGGTGGCAGTGAGGTCCTTCCAGGGCCTGACCCACCCTCAAAAGAGCCCCGTGAGGCTTTCAAACCCTTCGGGGAAATAAGGTCACACAGAAACAAAAAGCAAGCTTGCTGAGGACCAAGAAAAGGCCCTTTCCTACCTTCTTTCTCTGTCTGAAAACAATGCGGGAGCTGGACAAACCAATCCCAGAGCCTTTCATTGTTCGAATCGAGGTCAAAGCCAGCACGTGAGCCAGAGGCAAGTATGGGAGCCCTGAGGGGGTGCATGACAGGGTCCAGCCTTGGGTTACAAAGAGGAGGGCCCAGGAGGGAGGCCTGGGGAGGATGAACCCAAGCCCTGTGGCCTGTCTGTATGTGTCATGGCCTCATCACATCAGCCAACATTTGCAGGTTCCCCCTGGGTCTGATCAAATCAGACCTCTCTCTGCACCGGGTGCCTCCTCTGCCCCAGCCCGAGTCTCCCCACCATCTGGGAAACTCTTCCACAGCTTGTGTTTCTCTCCTGAGCTTTCCCATCCCTGAGCCCCCAGAGGCAGGAGAAAGGCAGTCATTTCTTCGGCTGCTAAATAGGCCTGTTTTGTTGTTTTGCAAGTAGACAGCAAGTTAAGACGTCATTTGCTGTAGCTTCCAGCTACCTTGCACTCCCACAGTTGGCTCCAGAAGGAGGGCTTCGAATTCCTTGTTTCCCTAAGTTCTTTCTGTTCTCTCCTCTTCCTTTTCTGTCGCCTTCTCTCCTTCCACTCCAATCCCTTTCCTCCTGGAAGCCCAGCTCTGCCTCTTTCCTTACGCCACTGGATCGAAATGTTGGACTCTAGCCACGGTGAGGAGCCCAGGTCTGGCAGGTGCAGGTCACACATCATCTGTGACCCAAGCGGCATCACTGGTATCCTGAGGGTGGTGGTCACCCAGAGACTCACTCAGGGCACCTGGAGACTGGACCAGGCAGATCAGGGTTAAATCTTCCTCAGCTGTTCGACGTTGAGCACCTTGTTTAACTTCAATGGGCTTCAGCTGCCTGGTCTGTAAAATGCACACTGATCATCAGCTCCTACGGCTGGTGTGAAGGTTACGTGAGATCACAGCCGTGAGGACCGGCCAGGCGAGGTGCTCCGTCACCCACGTGCTGTCCCCACACGCCTGCCTCCTCTATCACTGTGCCTGGGACCTATTCCCCCAGGAGGCGATTCAAAGATCAGGCAGGAAACAGAGAAGTGTTTCTGCTGGAATGTGTCCCTTCACGACTGGGCCCGCGGATACCAGCTCCTCTTCTAGCTTTGTACTCACGTTTCCGTTTCCTTGGTGTAACTTCTCTGGCCACACGCCCCACTGGGCCACCAACTGTCTGTGAGTGACAGAAAAGGCCCACCCACGGGGGCTTGGGGAGTACGAGTGGAGTGTGGCCAGGCTCCTGGCTCTTACTGCCAGGGCTGTGGTCGCATCAGGCAACCTAAGCAGGTGTCAGGGATATAAATTCAGGCCTGGCGGGGGCTTCTGGGAGGAGGCGTGGCCTGATTCACATAACAGTGCTTGAAGCCAGGCCCAGGTGTGTTCAAGCCCTGGCCGCTAAACTCCATGACCTTGGGCAGAGTTATTTGTCCTCTCTGAGTCCTTATCTGTCAACTCTGCCAATAACCTCTTTCCTAAGGGATCACTGAAGGCATTGAAGGAGGTCACCTAAGACCTCTGACATAAAGCACGGTGCGATAAATCCCCCCCGCCCCGCCACAACACGATCTCCACAGCCTCACCAGGACACGTAATACAGCGCACTTGCAAAGCGCCCTGTGCCCCTTGTATACTTTCTCACATTGTATTCCCATCATGACCCTAGGAGGTAGGTTATGTTAGTGTCACACTCATCTTCCAGATAAGAAAAGAGAAGCACGGGGAAGTTATGTAACCGGCTCAAGGTCAGCCAACGTGGCAGAGCTGGAAGTGACTGTCACAGTGACTGGTGGGCAACTTGATTTTCACGGTAAGTTTTCCCATGGAACTTTGGAGGGGGGATGTGAGTCCTACGCCCCAAAGCGGACATGGCTCCAGAACCTTCCATGACCCCCTTGCCGAGGGAGCCCACAGGGAACACAGAAGAGTCAAATGAGGCTGACTACTCAGGGACTTTGCAGGTGCTGCCAGGTTCGTGGCCATCAGCTTCTGCTGGGTCTGCCTTCCTCCTCCTCGTTTCCTGGGCCAAACTTTATCAGGACGTCCCCTCTTCTCTGGAGCTCCTTCCAGCAAATCCATTAAAGGCAGGGACCAGGTGAGCAGAAACAGCCTGGATCTCAGAGATCTGGAGACTTCTAGCTACAAAGCATGAAGCATATTTACTTTGTCACCTGAAATTATTTTTGTTTCAAAGGCTTGATTTAGGAAGATCCAGATGTTCACCTGGTCTCCAATTGCTGAAGGAACGTGTGTTTTAAAGGCCAGCTGTCGAAGTACATGCATTCTGCCCTTGCCATTCTGTGGAGGCCGCCTGTGGCCTTGACGTTAAACCAGTTACAGTTCTGTGCTGACGGCATACGTGGACACGGCCAGGATTTCCCGTGCCTCCACCTCACCGTTTCCTCTCTGCCTCTGGGCTGGTCCCCTTCATTTCTCCCTTCCTCCCTCCCACAACTTGCTCAGATCTGTGGGTAAATGTGCAGAAATGTTCTGGAAAGTGGGGACATTTAGGCTCCAGGCAGACAGGGGTTCATAGGCCAGCTCAACCACTTCTGGGCTCTACACCCACGGGCAGTTTACCCGAGTGTCAGATGTCCACCTGGAAACTGTGAGATCACGTGAAGATGGTTTCGTTCGCAGCCTGGCGCAAGATAAAGGAGTAGTAAATGGAATAAGGGGATAAGCCTTTTGCCCAAAGCTAAGTGTAGTGTGAGGTGCGGTGTGTCCTTAGCACTTGTGAAGGGCCTGCTTCCCCCTTGTCTCTCTCCACAGCCCTGGCCTCAGCCATGGATCCTCCTGCCCTCAGATCTCCCTCCGATACGGACAGGCCCCGCCACTCCACGGACGCTTCTGTGACTCCCTCCCACCCAAGTAAAACCCACCCGTGCCGGTCTCTGCACAGGGTTCAGCCGGACTGACGAACTAACCTTGGCCGACACTTTAACAGAGTGAGGTGACATCTGATCGAGGCCCGGAGACAATGCTTCAGGGGTGCACAGGCTGCCACTCGCCCAGCATTTCCCAAACATCTGGACCAGGTGCTCGCTTCTGCCAGAGCTGCCAAGAACGATGCCCAACTCCCCAAAGGGGGACAGATGGTAACCAGTCTCGGCCCATGGCGGAAAGAAGATCTTTGAATTGGAGGTCACACCGCTTAGGTACCTGCTAGGCCAATCTGTGTGTCCATTATGCCTGCCTTCCCACAGCAAGCCGAGAGCCACGTGAAGGGACAGAAGGGCATCCCCTACAGCTGGTGCCCAGCTGAGGGTGAGGAGAGACGCTGCACCAGGGTCCAGAGATCAGGGCTTAGAGCTCACTCTGCTCATGACTCATGCACGACACAGGCAGCTCATTACCCGCTGTTGTGGCTAAAAGGCTGTAACAGCACCGGCCCCTCCCTGCCTCCTAACGGTGACTCGGAGGATTAAGGAGGAAACGAGCGCTAAGCTTGGTGAATGCAGCTTTGTCCCCCCGCTGGTCCCTCTGATTAGTCCACAAAACCGATGGGAAATAGCAAAGGTCAACGTTCTCTTTATGGGAGGTTGAGGTCCTCACTGGGTGTGGTTCTGAGCTCCGTGTCTGTGTCACCCTCATCTGGGGTGAGGCCCTGGGGTCAGACAGAAAAGGGGGGTTAGTGGGAACATCGTCCAAGCTCTGGCCACGTGCCTGGGGCATTTCACATGGCAAGTCAGCTAAAGGAATGCATCTTGCTGGGCCTTTTGGAAACTTCTGGTAGCAAAAACCACAGACTGAACAGTACCTGTCAAGGCTGGAGCGAGCAGGATGAAAGCTGTCTCTCCACGATGCTGGCTTTCAGCACTGGCCCCCCCTTGCTCTCCACTTATGTGATTTGGTTTTGTGGTCTCTCTCGGTGGAAAGCCTCTAGGACGCTAGTGGCTGAAGCCAGAGCCCTAGAAGGACAGGAGGAGGGAGAGAGGCAGATGGGGCGGCTGTGGCCCAGCTGCACGGAGCCAGCTAGGAGAGGCCACTTCCCTCCGTGCTGTGGCTTTTCCCACTCAAGATCTGGAGGTGCCTCGGTGAAAGGTCTAGGTGGGATTAAACCAATTCTGCCAGCCAAAGAATATCGCTCGCCATCCAGCTGTACCAGGATTGAGTCATCCACCACTGCCGTCACTGATCTTCAACACACCCTGAAAGGGGTTCAGGGTGGAGATCAGGAATGAGGTGCTCTGGGCTCTGGGAAAACTGGCATAACAGCCTTCGGTTAGATATTTTCAGGAGAAAATTTTATGAACACAAGTTCTTGCGTCTTCCCATACTTGGAAAAGCGCTAAAATCTTTAAGTAAGATGTCTATTCCCCGTGGCTAGCGGTAACCTTCTAGCGAGATGTGTGCTTGGTTGCAGGTACCCTTCTCCAAAATCACATATATGCTGACCACCCCTTCCCCCCTTCTGAACAGTTTCTCAGAGCCATCCGAGAGGCTGTGTCCTGGGCTATAGTCCTCGGTAAATCCCCAAATAAAACTGAAAGTCACAGCTCTCACGTGGTGTGTTTTTATTTCAGTCTACAGTTCTCCCAAATAATCCAATGGGGGGTAGAGAAGATTCTTTCCAGTTTAATTTTGTGTGATAGATCAGCGGGCCAGTACCAGTCTGCTGCCCGTTAGGAACCGGGCCACACAGGAGGTGAGCGAGCGAAGCTTCATCTGCCGCTCCCGGTCGCTCGCACTACCCCCTGAACCATCCTCCCCTGCCCTCCCACCCCATCTGTGGAAAAACTGTCTTCCAAGAAACCGGTCCCTGGTGCCAAAAAGGCTGGGGACCGCTGTGACAGATAATAATTCACACGGTTCAAAATCAAAATAATATAAATTAGATACAATGGGAAATCTCGCTCTACCTCTGCCCCAGTTCACTGATTCCTCCCACTATACCTGCTACTGTTATTAGTTTCTCATGTACCTTTCCCATATTCCTTTCTGTAAATTCAAACGTGTATTTTCACTCTGTCTTCTCCCTTAAGTGCACAAAAGTTTTAGCGTATGGTACATCCTGGTATCGGTCAGGGTCTCTGTAAGAAGCGAATGGCAGAGTCGAGCTGGATAAGTGAAGAAGAGTTAGTGAAAGGCTGTTGACAAAGGTGTGGTTGGCTGAGGGGGGAAGGAATAGGAATGTGAAATTCGCCAGGGCTGGGGACCATGGAGAGCCTGCAGGGATGAGAGATAGGAGATGCTGGAAGCCAGAGACTGAGAGACAGAGAGAGACAGCACTTTGCGGAGAGGCCTCAAGGTAGAGGGACAAGGTACCGCAATGCAGGGAAGGAGCCCGGGACTAAACACCTGCCCTCAGACGCCACTCACGCCCTGGATCTTCAGCAGGGCCCCCGTCAGCCAACCCACCTCAGGAGTCTGGGGCAAAGAGGCCTGTGTGTGTAGACGTTACAAGCCAGCCTCCCGAGACCCAGAGCAGGCCGAGAGGGGTGTGGGTGTCTCGCAGGGGGGCCCCCGCAGAACACGCAGGACACCCTGCCCCACCCCCGCCCCGGGACAGCTGATCCCGGAGAGCTTTCCACGTTATTTGCTGACGTGGCTACTGGCATTGCTTGGTTCCACTTCCCCACCTTCCCCGCCAGCACTGCCACCAAACTTCTCAGCCGCTGCTGCCCAGCACCCCACCCCAGAGGGTATTACAACGCCCTGCGTAATGTGGCGAAGGGTCCCAGTGTCGGCCAGCCGGCTGGGGAGATCCTTCCCTTCAAAACCAAGTGAAAATCTTCAGCTGCCTTGCACCTCCCTGCCAGCAGCAGCTCAGGGCTCTTGGGGATCCTTCCAAGCATTTCTGGGTACCTGTCACGTCGTCCTTGCCTGACCCCTCGTCCGGCACCCTTGTTCCTCACTTTCCCTCCTCCCCTTGGGCTCTCGGGCCACTGCCTGGCACATCACCGTCCTCACCCAGCCCTGCTGTCCAAGCAGGGACACGGCGTCCCCAGCCCCACACGGTCTGTCCTTGGGGTGCAGGGACAGCAGAGGAGTATCATGGCATAGATCAGTAACCCATTTAAAATTTATCAGCTGACCTCACTGCTGGCAAAACTCACTGCTGGCCCTGCCCCAGGGGCTCGGGGAGTCCTTCCTCAGCCACCTGTTCCCTGGTCTCCGGCTACTGTCCTGTTCCTGGGCTTCCCTCCCATCCTCTCTTCATTTTCTCTGTCCCCTGAAACCCAGCCCCACACTTGCCTGTCCTCGTCCTAGTCTGTTACTTTCTCTTCTCCTTTCTCACACGAAGCAGTTGAGCTCCCCGTTTGCCTCAAAGTCTCCTCCAGGTCTGGGTCCAATTACTCGCTCTCTCCAACCAAAGGGCTGTTCTCTCTCCAGCTGATTCCCACCGACTCAGTGCCATCCAGTAGAAAGAGAATATGAACCCCATATAAAATGTGAAACTTTCCAGTGGCTACATTTAAGAAAAATTAAAAGAAACAGGTGAGATTAATTTTAATATGCTCTACTTAACCCAATATATCCAAAATATTATCAGTTCAACATTTACTCAGCATAAAATTATGCGTTATTTTAATTCTGGTAAATGACAAGCTATTTGAAATCCGGTGTGTATTTGGCACTTAACGGCACATCTCCATTCAGACTAACCACCTTTTGCACGCTTGGTAACCACACATGGTTGGTGGTGACCATGCTGGGCAGACTAGCCCCAGAATACGGAAAGACCTGCGACCACCTTTTAAACAATAACCAGATTCCACCACTTAGTGGGTACAATGGATTCCTAGAAATATAAGCACTGAATTATGTCTGAGATGTTCACAGCTGGTGCCAAGATGCCCTCTGGAAGCTGTCACAAATGACGTTCTTGAAATTGCTGACTTACCATGTCATCACCAACACTGGATATTAGGGTGGATGGATGTAAAGTATAATTTGCATTTCCCTGGTGATGTGTAAGACTAAGCTCTTTTCATCTGTTTACTAGCCATATTCATATTCTCTTCTGTGAATTAATTATCTGTGCCCTTTACCCATTTTTCTATTAGATTTATTGTCTTTTTTTTGAAACTTGAGTTTAAGAGACTTGCTTTGTTCTCAGTGGGCCCTCTTCCATCTGAAGTGTTTCTTTGGCACTAGGATATTTTCTTCTAATATATCTTTTTATTTCCTCCTCTCCATTCTCTGTGTTCTCTCCTCTGGAGCTTCCATAAGAAAGGTATCTGTGCTTGACTTTACACCTCATGTCACAGAACTTAAAAAACAATGGCGTCTTTCTTTTTTCCTAACACATTTTTAGGGAATCCTTTAGCTTGATCTTCCAGCTTACTAATTAGGTTTTCCGTTATCTATTTAGCACATTTATTGAGTTTTTAAAACTTTGTCAGTCATGGCTTTAATTCCCAAGAACTCTTATTATATCTTTTTCATAGAGGCTTTATTTTTTAGGTGGATGTGATATTCTCTTAACTCTCTCTGGGATATTCATTTTAATTCCTTACAGTTTTCTTCTGTTTTGAGTAGTCTGTTTTCTTGGAGTCCATTCTATTTTTTTTTTTTTTTTTTGCAGTACGCGGGCCTCTCACTGTTGTGGCCTCTCCCGTTGCGGAGCACAGGCTCCGGACGCGCAGGCTCAGCGGCCATGGCTCACGGGCCCAGCCGCTCCACGGCATGTGGGATCTTCCCGGACCGGGACACGAACCGGTGTCCCCTGCATCGGCAGGCGGACTCTCAACCACTGCGCCAGCAGGGAAGCCCCCATTCTATTTTTGTGCCTCTCTCAGGCTCTGGCTTTTCTGAAATATCTAGCAATTCTAACGTAGCTGTTAACATTGTAGATGACCATCTGGGCTGAACAGTATTGGTGGCTGGGGGACACTTCCTTACCCCGATGAGAATCCCATTCCTCTGGCAGGGAATGCAGCTGTTGATACAGGAGCCAGCCTCAGGTGACTGCGTGTGCAGAGAGTGCTCAGTGGACAGTGGAAAGGGACCATTCACCGCCCTACAGTCCATCTCTAGCTCACTCCTTCACCCAGGTCGCGTTGCCTCTGTTCTGGAACTCTGCTGGGAAAATTCACTCTGTGATGACTGTGCATTTAGCCCTGTGGCATTGCAGCTTCGTTTTAATTTCTTCACCAACTTGTTCTTATATTTGTCTTATGTTTCCCGGAAATTTCTTAATCTTCTGGACATTGATCCCATTCCTCCTGACTGCCCACAACCACGAGCACTCCTATTTCTGAATTTCTTGTCATTTCAGTGGAATTTAGGGAAGAAGAGGGGTACACACCACTGTGTGCTTAGCCATGTTGAACTGTAAGACACTTATTCTGCACTTAGCATCATTTCATGAGAATGGTTGTCAGAAGTGAGTCAGCTGGATCAAAGAGCAGGAACATTTTTTGAGGTTGTCGATACACAGTTTAAACTGCTTGCTAGACTGAGGAGTGAAACAGAGGGAAAGGACCCAGCTTGGGCAGAGAGAGAGCTGGGTTACAATCACAGTTCCTCCCCTTGCCAGATGTGTAAACTGAGTCAGGGAACCTCTCTGAACTTCAGTTTCCTCATCAGTAAAATGGGCATGATAATGGTACCAGCATTTAGGAATACTGTGAGAGGGCTTCCCTGGTGGCGCAGTGGTTGAGAGTCCTGTGCTCCGCAACGGGAGAGGCCACAACAGTGAGAGGCCCGCGTACCGCAAAAAAAAAAGAATACTGTGAGGATGAACTGTACGAAGCATCTTCCCCAGAGCCCAGCCTATAGAAGGTGCTCAATAAATGCTGTTCGTCAGCATTGTTTCAAGTAAATGGTTTGTCAGCATCAAAGAATCGTGGATTCAACTGGGTGTTTGGAAAAGCATTCCCTTCTTGGTCATCGGCACTTCACGCTCTCAGATAAATCACTGCCCAGCTTGGTACCTCCATCTCCAAAGAGAGAAGTCTCCTTCCTGCCTGCCTTTCTGTGAAGGCTTCTGTGAAGATTCACTGCTGTTTCGAAAGCCCTTACAGATGCTCCAGTGAAAATCCCTGTGCATCCTTGGAGCTGTCTTCATTGGAAGGATGGGTCCTGAGCCCCTGCCACCAGCTCCAGAATGAATCTCCATGAGATTCTAAGCTTGGTCAAGTGTAAACTCCTGTGGAAGAAAAGATCTGGTCCTTATCCTGGGCCAACTTCCGGAAATGTAATTTCTTCCTCAGCTGGGACGTTGGGTCTTATGACTCCTTTTCCTATTTGACAACTTATTAATCAGAAATCTCCAGCAAACCTGCTCCAGGGAGGCGGGCTGAGCCCTCACCACGGCCACATGCCAGTCGAGGCTCAGGATGTCAGGAACCAAGTGTTTCTGCCCAGCCCAGATGAAGGGCGGCTCCTGTGAGAACCTCCAAAGTCACTGGCTCAGGGGTGCAATGGCCGGGGTCGGGGATGCAGGATGGCAAAGAGAGAAAGAAGTTTGTACCTGTAGAACCGAGGCAGGCCCAGTCCGGAGGTCAGCCAGGGCCAGCACTGTGAGAGGTCACTGAGGCGGGATTCTGGCAGACTGGAACTGAGGCCAAGGTGGGACGGGTGGGAACGGACGGGCAGGGGAGGGGAGAGCTCATTTGAAGAATAACAGGAAAGTTGTAGGGCGACCATGAGGCCTGCCAGGTTTTGTTTTTGTCTGGATTCAGTAAGCAGTCAACAAACAAACAAGGTGCAGGGCATGGACTGGACTGGGAACTGGCCTTTCTCAGAAAGAGTCACCACTATAAGAATCTCTTCCTTTCTCCCTCTCTCCTGGTCCCACTCACAGCAGGGTTGGTGGCCACCAAGCTGGAAAGGGGCAGGACGGAGGCAGGTAGGGCCAGCAGGAAATGCCTTCCGGAGGTCGAACCAATAGAGGGCATGGGGTGTGGGCGAGTCCCTCAAGGAGAAGGGAGGGTTCACTCACCAAAGGGCTCCTCCCCCATCCCTTTAGCTCCTCTCCCACACAACCGGCCCTTCCCTCTGCTCCCCAAAGGGCTGTGTGCAGCCAACACAGGCGTCCCATCTGTGAGCCCTGCTTTAGTAACAGGGTGACAATGACGATGGCTAAATACACGCCTTGACTTCTTGCTGGTGAGACAGAAAAGCGAGGCACAGAAAGACTGGAGAACGTGTTCAAGGGCACACAGCAAGGAGCGGGGAAGCAGAAGTCAAAACCAGCTGGTTTCTAGAACCTCTGCACAGTACAGGTGAAATGACCCCAGAAGCTCCAGAAGGAGTAAACGCCAAGGTTCCCAGAAGGCTCTCAGAGCACCCAGCACTGTGGGGAGGCAGCAAGTCCTATCGAGGGCTGGACTGGAAAGATGGTGAGCGGGTGTGAAGTCAGGAGCAGCCCTTGGGAGGTGAATTCTGGCTCCACTTCCCCAGTAAATCTCAAATGCTCCTCATGTTTGGGGAGATTAAGAGTAGAAAAAAGGAGAAGGAATGATTCTTAAATGCTGTCTGGACTCCCTTCTAGGTTCCAGCATCTCTCCCGGGTCCCTGCCCGATGGTGGAGGGCACCCCCCCACCTCCGTCGCTGACCTGCTTTCACGTCCGGGGTTTCCGGGTCTCCGCGTGCAACCTGCCCACCCTCCTGGGGGCTCACTCTTCTTAGATCTGAATCCTCAATACAGGGACTTCTTTTGGAGAAATAGCTAGATTTCTTTCTGATTACAAGTAAAATGCATGCTAAAGGCAAAAAAAAATAAATAAATTAGGAAATGCATGAACATAAAGAATCTTTCAAACAGTACATCTACAGGATAAAGAGCTATTCAACCATAAAAACGACTGAGGACTTTTGTGATATCTCAGTAGGGACAAGATTCATAATTACATGAGAAAAATAAGGTGCTGGACAGAGTGAGAGCATTGTCGACTTGCGCCAAATTCTCCCAAAGGGAGCTCGGCCAACGGGCGACACGAGTTGCTCTCTAGAAGGAGAACTGGGTGGCTTGGAGGAGATTTGTCACTAGATAGTCTTCTAGAGCTTCTGATTTTTATGCCATGTGACTGTATTACTTTTTCAAAGATTAAATAAAAATCTGAAAAAGAACAGTTTATTCTGTAGAACTCAGTGAAAATCCCTCCCTCGATATATATCCTTCCAAATTTTATTTTCTGTACACACACACACATTTTGTTTATTTCTATAATACTGAGATCATGCTACAATGAATTACAATCTGCTTTATGCCTCATTTACTATAGTGTGGATAACTTTCCATATTAGTATATATCAATCACATGGTTAATTTAAGCAGCTGCAAAGTAATTCGTGATATACTTTTACAATATTTTTTAACTCATTCCCTATAATCTTTAACTGTTTTATTGACATTCACGTACCATAAAATTCATCCACTTTAAGTGTACAGTTCAGTGGGGTTTAGTATATATTCACAGAATTGCGCAAGCATCACTACAATCTCATTTCAGAACATTTTCATCACCCCAGAAAGAAAACACACGCCCATCCTTCCCCTTCTCCCAACCCTAGGCGACCACACTAGTCTACTTACTGGCTCTAGGGATTTGCCTATTCTAGACATTTCTTATAAATGGAACCATTTGTGTCTGGCTTCTTTTACTTACTAAACTGTTTTCTAGGTGCACCCATGTGGTAATACGAATCCGTACTTTATTCTTTTTGTTGATGAATAATATTCCGTTGTATGGATAGTTCACGTTTTGTTTGTCCATTCATCAGTTGATGGACATTAGGGTTTTTTCTCCTTTTTGGCTCTTATAAATAACGCTGCTATGAACATTCACGGGCAAGTTTTTTTTTTAAAATATATTTATTTATTTAATTTTATTTTTGGCTGCGTTGGGTCTTCGTTGCTGCATGAGGGCTTTCTCTAGCTGTGGCGAGCAGGGGCGACTCTTCATCGCGATGCGTGGGGCTTCTCACTGCGGTGGCTTCTCTTGCTGCGGAGCACGGGCTCTAGGTGTGCGGGCTTCAGTAGTTGTGGCACACGGGCTCAGGAGTTGTGTCTCGCGGGCTCTAGAGCGCAGGCTCAGTAGTTGTGGCTCACGGGCTTAGTTGCTCCGCAGCATGTGGGATCTTCCCGGACCAGGGCTCGAACCCGTGTCTCCTGCATTGGCAGGCGGATTCTTAACCACTGCACCACCGGGGAAGCCCTCACGTGCAAGTTTCTTTTAACACGTTTTCAATTCTCCTAGAAGCAGAATGACTGGCCATATGATACAGCACATTTACCTTTTTGAGGAACCGCCAAGCTGCTGTCCAAAAGGGCCCCTCCACTTTACACTCTCACCTGCAAGGTATGAGGGTTTCAATTTCTCCATGTGTCCACCAACTCTTGCTATTTTCTGCGGCTTTGGTTATAGCCAACCTAGTGGATGTGAAGTGGTATGTTGCTATGATTGACATTTCTCTAATGCCTCATGACGACTAAGACACCGAACCGAGCATCTTTTCATGTGCTTGATGGCCACTTGTATATTTTCTTTGGAGAAATGTCTATTCACACATTTTAAAATTGGGTTGTCTTTTTATGTCTGAGTTGTAAGAGTTCTTATATACTCAGGATACAAGTCCCTTATCAGATATATGATTGGAAAATATTTTCTCCCATTCTGTGGGTTGTCTTTTCATTTCTTAGTGGTGTCATTTGTAACAACAACAATAAAGTGCTTTTATTTTAACGAGTCTAATGAATTGTGCTTTTTGTGTCGTGTCTAAGAGACCACTGTTTGGTTAAATGTTTGGTATAATTCACCAGTGAATCCATATGGGCCTGGGTTTTTCTTTGAGGGAAGTTTTAACATTACTAATTCAATCTCTCTACTTACTGTAAGTCTGTTCACAATGTCTATTTCTCCTTGAGTTCGTCTTTCTAGTTTGTGTCTTTCTAAGAATTTATTCATTTCCTCTTCGTTATCCAATTTGATAGCATACAGTTATTCACAGCAGTCCCTTAAAAACCCTTTTGTTTTTGTAAGGTCAATAGTGAAGCCCCACTTTCATTCCTGATTTCTGCTCTTCCTTTGTTCATGCTATAGCCCCTGTCCATTCCTCTCTCCTCTCCCCCCATCCCCAGTGTAGGGCCTGGACTCTGGAAGGTTCCACCCATTAATTGCCTTGTAATCCAATATGGTTAAGTGCCAATGGAAAACTGTTTTAGACCAACTCAGAAATGCAAAACCAAAACATCTTGGTGCGACCAAAATACTGCAGCTTTACCATCAGGGGTATCTCTGCTTGGTATCGTTGCTTGCACAGACCCAGTTTCCTGGGGTGGCATGGGTGACACTCTCATGCCAACAGGAATCAGTTTTTCTGTTTCCAAATGCACTTGAGAACCACTAATTCGGGACTTCCTTGGTGGTCCAGTGGGTAAGACTCCACGCTCCCAATGCAGGGGGCCCAGGTTCGATCCCTGGTTGGGGAACTAGATTCCATATGCATGCTGCAACTGAGTTCACAAGCCACAATTAAGAAGCCCACATGCAGCAACTAAAAAAGATCCCACGTGCCACGACGAAGATCCCACGTGCTGCAACTAAGACCCGGTGCAGCCAAAATACATAAATAAATATTTTTTTAAAAAAGAAAGAAAGAAAAGATTCTCAACATCTCTAATCATGAGGAAAATACAAATCAAAACCACAATGAGATATCACCTCACACCCATTAGGATGGCCACTATCAAAAACACAGAAAATAGGAATTCCAAAGCAGCCGCACTAATAAAAAAAAAGAAAAGAAAAGAACCACTAATTAGGGACTTCCCTGGTGGCACAGTGGCTAAGAATCTGCCTGCCAATGCAGGGGACACGGGTTCGATCCCTGGTCCAGGAAGATCCCACATGCTGTGGAGCAACTAAGCCCGTGTGCACCACAACTACTGAAGCCCGCACACCTAGAGCCCATGCTCCGCAACAAGAGAAGCCACCCCAATGAGAAGCCCGCGCACCACAATGAAGAGTAGCCCCTGCTGGCTGCAACTAGAGAAAGCCCGCGCGCAGCAACAAAGACCCAACGCAGCCAAAAATAAACACATAAAATAAATTTATGAAAGAAAAGAACCACTAATTATGTCCATCCTGCCCAAAGCTATTTGTTAGCTTTTTCCTTCTCCAGACTGAGAGATTGGCGGGAGGCGGGGATAACTTGGATTGCCTAAGGGGCATAGGACAGCCTGCCACAGCCCTGCCCAGACCCTGGATGCAACCCTCCACAGCTTCCCGGGGGCTGTCTCGCCTTGAGTCATTGCGGAGACGAAGTGCAGGAGGACACGGCCTTACCTGCTCAGTGTAGGCTCCATCACAAGGTCCCATCACTCAGGCTGTCATCCTGGCTCCGCCCCCTGGAGGAAGGGAGGACACCCTACAGCAGCCACCTTGCCTCTTGCAGAATCAGCCTGGTCAACAGGAAGATGAGGGGTAGGACCAGATGGCCTGAAGACCAGCCCAGCCACTTATGATCAGATTACCAGAGAACAATCTGAGCCTGGGGAAACTCACCCTCCCCCAGGCAGCATTCCCTGGTTTGGTCTTGAGAGTCAAGCTGCCTGGGCTGGAATCCCACCTTCATCTCCTACGGGCTTGCATGTGGCCTTGGGCGAATTCTTCAATCTCTGTTTTCTCATTTTCTTCATCTGTAGAATGGAGGCAATACTAGTATGTAGCTCAGGCAGTTGCTGGAGTGGTTGTGAATGAGATGAAATATATAACACATATACAGCTTTCCAACTGTGCCTGGTAGACAGTAAGCCCTGAAAAAATGTTAGCATTAAAAACAAGTCTGCCCTAAACAGAGACACAGATGTAGAGAACAAACGTATGGACACCAACGGAGGAAAGTGGCAGGGGTGGGGTGAGGGGGTAGTGGGATGAACTGGGAGATTGGGACTAACATGTATAAAATGGATAATTAATAAGAACCTGCTGTATAAAAAAATAAAATTAAAAAATTTAAAAAAACAGGGCTTCCCTGGTGGCACAGTGGTTGAGAGTCTGCCTGCCGGTGCAGGGGACATGGGTTCGTGCCCCGGTCCAGGAAGATCCCACATGCCGCGGAGCAGCTAGGCCCGTGAGCCATGGCCGCTGAGCCTGCGCGTCCGGAGCCTGGGCTCCGCAACGGGAGAGTCCACAACAATAAGAGGCCCGCGTACCGCCAAAAAAAAAAAAAAAAAATTAAAAAAAAACAAAAATACAAGCCTGCCCTTTTCAAGTTTAGCCAGTGCTCCTAGGCCTGCCCTCTGCAGCCATCTGCTGTCCCAGCAGCAGGAAATCTGCTGGGCTGCCATACATGCCAAGCACTGTGCCAGGCTGCCCATGACCCAGGGTAGGATGAGGAGATGGACTGGGGGAATCCCAAAGCGCTGCCCCTGAACGGTGTCAAGGTAGGGGAATTCTGACCTGATCGGAGTCAGGAAGACTGGCCTCGAGGCCCCACCCTGCCACCTGCTCTCCTTGAGACCTCTGTGAAGGCAAGTTCCCCAACCTCTGAATGTCGATCTGTTCATCTTTCAAATGGGAGTAACAGTACCTACCACTGTGTTGGGGGAAGAGTCAACTGCTGATCCCTAAGACCTGATGAACACACCGACTGGCACTTACTAAGGACTCATTTCAGGTCATAAAAAGTTACCCTCCTGCTCTTACCTTTTCTCTTGTATTGTAAGCAGCTCCCCTCGGCCCGCACTGGCCTGTTTCAAATAAAGAGCAGGCCGAAGTTTCTGTAAATTCGGTCCTGTTTGAAACCAAGCAGAAGTGACTTTGAGGTGATGCGACAAAGGTTCAGACTGGGTTCTGTTTTACCCAAACTGCCTCCTCTCTGGCTGATATCGTGATCTTTATTCCCCTCACACCCCGGAGCTCAGGCTGCGAGCTAAAATCAGAACGAGTCTAAGGTTTCCGGTCAACTCAGCCTGCGATTCTTCCACTTGTGATGCTGTCAGGGGCCTGTGCGTCACGAGCTGGGGGACCAAGCCTCCTGTGTGGTTGTGGTTGTGCTGACGCCCCTCTCTCCCCTCGGTGGCCCTGGGCCCGGGGATGAGGGAGACGGAGGAAGTGAGCCAGTGCTCAGAGGAGAGTCACCTACAGCCACACAGACAGGACCCCACAAGGACCACCACTTTTCCTCCACAAAGAACCAGGCACCTTCCTCAGTGTAACCGTTTCCGGAATGCAAAGCAGCCTCTGGAGAAGGCCAGGGGCTGTGCCTCTGCCACTTCCCCAAGCTGGTGCCGAGCATCTGGCAGGAGAGGCAGCGAGCACAGCTGGCAGCCCCGAGGGGCACCGGGGCATTCTGTGCCATTTGTACAGAGTGACGTTTCCAACTTGACTGCAAGCAGAATCTTTAATAACATATACATTTTCAGTGACTGAAGCCTTGCTCTTGCCAAATCCTAGCATAAAGCATGTTTTTACAGCTGGGATGATAAATCCCTGAAAGACGGCACTTACCATGGAAACGCTGACACAGCCTTTCATTCCTTTCACAGTGATTAAAATCCTCATTTCAATTTGTTTTTCTTTATTTTGAGCTGGAGTCATTTGCAACCCCCAGAAACATAGCTCCCTGCGGTAGAAAACTAAATGCTGCCCTCTGTCAGAAATAAGACGGAACTGTTCTTCATTCGCTGGAGTGCAGCAAATCTTGGCTTGGAGAATTAGGGCAACCCGGAAAAGCAGGCCTTCTTACTAATAATCGTACCAGCAAAGACATTCCTGCAGGACTTAACCTTGTTTCCTGGGGAAAGTGAGGCAGGGAAGGAAAGGCAGCTGATAAAGCGTTTGTTATCAAACCAGAGGCCACTATGGGCAACTGGAGATTCAGCCCACTGGGGAATTCTGGGAGCCCGTGTGTACTTGGCACCTCAGTCATCCTGCCGGAGATGCAGACGAGCTTCTAATTGGTTGCAGGCTGCTGTCCATCAACTCTTAGGCACTTCTGGCCTCTCCAGGCAGAGATACAGATCTTGGTAGTTGGAGGGCCAGCCCTTGCCATGGTGAGGCCCCACTGGATACGGGCAGCCACTCTCCTTTCTGCTGCACCCACACCCCATTGCTCCCTTTATTCTCCTTTGGACTGTTTCGTTTGCAGGGATATTTTATGCCCTTGGAACTCAGGGGCGTTTGTCTTCTGTTTATTCATGGCCTACAGTCTCTGCTGAAACAAACGGCTCAGTGATCCTACCAACCAGATGTCTCCGAAAGTCTTTCTCCTCTCCTGATCTCTTAATTGATAATAAAATCCATAATGGAGTTGGCCACCCTTCTTAATCCGCCGGTGAGACTGCAGCAGCGTCGCTGCGCTGAGAGCTGACACGGCCTCAAATTTCCCGAAATTCAGCCGTGCAGATGTCGCGAGAACGTGGCCTAACGGGACTGCGGCGTCAGTCCGATTCTGCGCGCAGCCCGGGCTTCGGAAAAGGGTTTTCCAAAACGCGTCCCAAAGACAATCAGTGGGCACAGATAGTCCTCACGAGAGGAGTTCAGAGGTCGGATACTGTCCGTAATATTGCTGGGTACAGCCCGCTGCTAAGGGTCAGACTACCCTCCAGCGTCTTAAAGGTTCTGAGAAGTACTGCAGGGAAGAAATCCAGTTAGCTTTAACTCAGCGTTTCCCAACTTATTTCATCACTAGACCTCTTCGTGATGGAGCGTCCATTACCATCCTCTAGCACACTAGGTGTGCTACACGTAAAATGCCTTTATTTGTCCTTCCCCCCCTTATCTTAATGAATTTTTAAAATATTTTTATTATACAAGCATTACATGTTCATTGCAGAAAAACAAAAAGTACAAATAAGCAAAAAGGAGAGAAGGAGGCACTGAGGCGTGATTACTGTGGTGGACATTTAGGTTCTCATCCAGCAGCGTTCCTTTGTGGGAAAGGGGTTTTGTAGCAAGAGTCAATCTGTGTTTCCTGGACTATGTTCAGTTTTATGACCCCTGATTCTAAGTAGCAGGTTTTATTTTTTAAAAAAACCGCATATTTCAGCCAACAATGGCCAAAGAATCTTTTTGAACTAGTTCCAAAACCACCCGTGGAGGAAAATTCCTTTACCATATGTTGCACCTTTCATGGGGAATGGCAGGCCAAGAAAATCGACAAATTGGCAGAAAGACGAAAAAAAAGTATAGTTATTTCTCAGCTATGTAAAAATATTTATGATAATAAACACCGGAATAAAATACACCCCAGAATTAGGAAGTTTATTTCTAGAATGTGGGCTGCACGGTGACTTTTACTTTCTTTGCTGTTGTAAAAGCAAAACTTAAAGGTAAGTATTTTTCAAAGTACCCCCCTGCACACATGAGGCCACTTTCAGGGAGGATTAAAGCAGAGCAGGGGAGGCTGAGTCTGGTGGGGGGCCCTCACCTGGGACAGGCAAGTTCTTGGGGTTAGGGGCCCCTAACGGCTCTCCCACCTGAGAATCAGCAGGCTTGCTCCGGGTGGCATCATGTCCTTTTTGAGTCATGTTTGGGGGATAAAGCCAGAGGTCTAGCTGGTTGCACTGACCCTCAGAGCAGCCCTAGAAGAGAAGTGCCTTTATTACCCCTTTTCACAAATGCTCCCTGAACATGTGAGCTCATGTCTACCCTAGAACTTTGCACTGGCTGTTCCCTCAGCCTGGGATACTCATCTTTCAGGTCTGAGCTCAAAGAGGGTCTATAAGGAACCCAAAAGCACACAGTACAGGGCTTGAGCCAACGTCTGCCTGACTCCCAATCTCACAGGCCTAAGCTGAGCTCCAGAAGGGTTTTCAGATGGTTACAGTTCAGAAGAGAAAACCCCTGCCCTAAGTTTGACATAGGAGGCCAGGCGCTACCCGAAGCCATGGGAGGACATCTAGTATCTAACTCCAGATCTCCTTTTTAAAAGAATGGCTTGTCTGAAAGGCTGAGGACAAATCTGACTCCATCTCTTGGGGGCTGGAAGGCCATTCTGGGGGTACGAGCTCCGTGTGCACAGTCAGGAGCCACAGCCCCCTGGCTTACTGCCCATCTCCTTTGCCCTCTCAGAGCAAGAGCCAGACGGTCCTCTGGGCTCTGCAGCCACCTGCATATGCTGCCAGCCCCGAGGAAGCCCGTCAGGCAGAGCCGGCCATCCACCGGCGACAGCTACCTACCACCCAACGCTCGCTGAGTGCCAACCAGGTGCCACGCTGGGTCCACAGCTGATGCTGGAGCACAGTATCCTCCTGCCTCGGGAGAGGGGACTAGAGAACACGTGCTCGGGGAGGAAGTGCTTTCATCTGTGTCATGGTCTTTTGTCACCCCCCTCACGAGGCCCTCCCTGACCGCTGCCACTCTCAAAGCCCTGGTCCCTGTTTCTTTTTCTTCCTAGCATTTATCACGCCCTAGTGTTTGTTCTCTCTCTCCTTCAGAAGAGGCAGACGTGTGAATCGTCTTGTTCCTCGTGATTCCCCAGCAAACAGAACACCGCCTGACACAGATCAATGCTCTAGAAAGACCCGTTGGTCGAATTTCTACCTGCCATTTCAGTAGGATGGGTGCGTATCGGAGCATTAAGAGTCCAGGTAGGTGCTCTGTAGGCACCATCACTCTGCCCTCCTCCGACATCACCCACGTTCTGCTTATGGACCAGTTCCTGGATTCCTGCTTTGTCTCAGCCTGGGAGACACACCTGACTATAGTAAGTCCTTTAAGTAAAGCTCCTCCTGTAGGCGTTTACTACCCATCTTGGGTAGGTAATACCCAAGGCCCCCAAATCAGCGTTTAAACACAGAAAGCTCTTCTTTTTCTCCCCTTTTACTCCTGCCACCTTGGGGCTGCTGTTGCCCACAATTTATAACCGTTTCAGGAGGAAGGCGTAGTCTTACCTGGCCTGATGCAGCTCCAGCA